AAGATGAAACATTTACATACCAGTCCATATTTTTTGTCTATGTTACACATTTGATTAAAAAACAACCCAGCAGCACAGAAGGTGTATGATTGTCTAGTAACTGTCAAAAATGTTAAGTTTGATTGATTTTGTTTGCACTAAGTCCACACTAAGTCCACTTTCCTCGATCTCTGGAAACAAATGACTTCTTGTCACTTTTCTTAGCATCCAGGCGCATATTACAACAAATACGTTACAGTGTTTGTATTGTCAGGGACATGTTCAACCAAGTCATCCTCCTAAGGAAAATGAATTTTTCCTTACAAACATTTGGTTTTCCATTATTTTGAAAGTTACTCAATATTGGTTTTATTTTGCTTATAAATATAAATGAAGTATTTATACTATTATTAAAACCTGTTGAAATGTTATCTTTGACACTTGAAAACACAATGAATAATGATGAATATTTTAAGGAAATCACCCAAAATAATATTTGAAATTGCAATATATTTATTTAAGCAAATTTTTTCTGGCTTACCAACCTGAATGTTTGGGCCAAAATCCGTTAAGAATAAATTAATAAAAAATGGCTGTTGTTTGTGTAAAATCTGTAAAGAACACAGCAGTACCAGGTGCATCCATATATCAATCTGCAGGTAACTCCAAAATAACTGTACAGCGATTGTAATAATTTATCTAAAACTATTCAAAACAGTCTATAGTGGTATTATGATGTAGAAGCTGATACAGAAAATGTAGCTTTGAACAGGAACAGATTTTTATCATCAGGAAATTTGAGAGCTGTTATTGATTTTCGGATCAACCTGGTGTCGTCCTGGAAACGAATTAAGACTTGAGAGCTGAGCTGAGCTGGTGCAATGGATATTGCTATAGCGCTGTAGCAGAGCTAGGGTGTTTGTCAACCCACAGCCGACATTTTGTGAACAGGTGCAGGGATAACCTTGGAAATTGGTGGGGCGGTCGGGTAGCCTAGTGGTTAAAGCATTCGCTCGTCATGCCGAAGACCCGGGTTCGATTCCCAACATGCGTACAATGTGTGAAGCCCATTTCTGGTGTGCCCCGCTGTGATATTGCTGGAATATTGCTAAAAGCGGTGTAAAATCATACTCACTCACTCGGAAATTGGTATTGAAAATTATGGCTTTGATATTGAAGAATATTTTGAGTTGAGTTCTGCATGTTTGGTATTCTCAAACATAAGATAATATTTATTGCAGAAACATTCCATTACGGAATAGATGCAATCTTTTAAATGACAAAACTTTATGATTCATACATATGAAACACTGTTGAAGCATTGAGTTACAATATATGAAACAATATATGAAACAAAATATGTATGTAACACATTGAATAGGTGGGACATATTTAAATATAGTTTATTGTTTAAGAGACATAGCAGAGGTGCATTGAACATGCATGCTTTCACTAATTCCATGGCAACGCTGGCTGTCAGCACTGACCTCGAGGTCAACCAACCACTTGACTCAATTCTCCACTGCATTAGTTAATCTACCTGACCATGTTTGTAGAGGATTAAGTGATCTTTGAGTATCCGTGATCCCTTGGTAAATGTCTGCCCCTAGATGACCCCTTGACCTTGCACAACTTTGCTTCGGATTGGTTTAGGGTTAGAGTGTGATGTCAAGCCTTGCTACAAGACTGTACTGAATGATAAGTCCATGGATGTGTAGTAATTCTAACCAGAGACCCTATAATAGACTTGCATTTGTCGTAAGACCTCATTTTCCGCATCTGGAAATAAAGACAATGTTTTTCTGAGTAACTTTAAAAAAAAGATTATGGTCTCTGTTCTAGCCTTATAGGCAAGTCTAGATAAGCGGACAGTACAGGCCCCGTTCCACAAAGTGATCTTAGCGCTAAGTCGATCGTAACTCCCATTCTTTAACACTGACTTACGACAATCGTAGCGCTAAGATTGCTTTGTGGAATGGGGCCCAGGACGCCAGTCCTTTGTAGGGGCAACTTATTCTAATTATTTATACAATCTAGGATTTATGATTTAAATTGATAATTATTTCCTAAGAGACTTGTGTAAGGCTATGTGCTCTTATGCATCTGTTATTTGCGTACTTCATTTGCTTCTCTTGAAGCAGCTGGAAATTGCTACCACAGGTCAGTCCAGACGTACCTGTCAGTCATCCATCACTGATGCTTGGGAGGAGTGAGCGAGTGATTGTATGCTGCAGTCAATAATATTCCAGCAGCAACACAACCACCTTGAACCGATAAGCCTGGGTTAGGCAAGGGTTTAGTGAGCAATGATCCAAGCTGTTGATATCTATGAAATCATTCAGGTCACATCAGCTCCTCATTAATTGTCTACAATGACAAGCAGCATATATAGCATAAGCCTTTGGTAGATAAAACATGTCCGGAGAGAGCAGGTTGGTGGTTTGATCCCCGGCTACCTCATACCAAAAGATGTTAAAAGATGGTACTTGTTGTTACCCTGCCTGGCGCTCAGCATTATGGGGATGAAACGAGGACTGGTCGGCTTGGTGTCGGTATACTGTGTCTGAGTGGGGTATTCATATTAAACTTTGGCATGGTATCTCACTATAAAACTGGCATTTGTCCAGACTAGTACAAGCAGCCACACACATATGTATGCATGTCACTATATATAAGTGAAATAATCTTTTTGTATATGAACACACACAGGGGGCAGGGTACAAAGCATGAATATGACTGTTTTTTTACATGATGAATATCAAAATGACAAGAAAAAATATAAAGGGAATAGAAAATAAATGGCGGGAATATATTATTTTCTGAAACAACCCTGAGATATTTATAAAAAAAGTAAAAAATGTGTGCTTTTAACTCTTTGAGTGATTTAAAAATTGAGTTTTTGGTTTGAATTTTTGTGTGTAAAGAAAAAAACATTTTTGTAAAAGATTTGTAAGAAAATAAAAACTTGAAGCCATTATTTTCTATATGATTTGCTTTTAATTTACTGACGTATTAGTTATATAACCTGGAGAAATTGCAAGAAAACCGAGGCCAACTGACATTGTGTGGGAAGCTATTGACGGATTCATTCACTTGCCGTTGCTGTGGTCACAGACAAGAACGTGATTCACGCACACACGGTGGGGAATTTCCACTCCAATTTAGCATGGACTAGCTCATTAATCTGGAGGGGAAGAAGGGTCATTATGTTTTTGTTTAAACAGGAAGCAGGAAAGAAGGGGTTGAGTCCATTTCAGATTTGTTTTAGGCTGAAAACATGACTAGCACTGTGCCGGTATTTGTTGGCGATAAAATGTTATTGATTTTTAGATAAACAACTGCTTGCATGTTTAACAGGATCTTGTTGGCTGCAAAGCATATGTTGTAGTCATTATTTGCAGTATGGTGTATTTTACAAGATAATAAATAGAATCGAGATGATCACTTTTTTTGTGTGTGTGTAAAAATAATTATTCTACTTTATTAGAATTTGTTAAGTGGAAAATGGTATATGTCATATGTAAGAAAACACACATTTACCCTTTTTTTAAGCATGTTTAAGGTCCTTGATGTTTAAAAAATGTTCAAACATGTTATATTTTGATCTTTTGTTATTTGGTATTGGAGAGATATGAAGATAATTATTAGAAAGAAACGTCAGAAACAAGAGATTTAAAAAAAATATTAACCACATTGTTAACCAAACTTGCGCACACAAAGGACATAATTTGATTTAATAAATCCCAGTACAGTAAACTACGATTATAACGAACTCCAAGGGACCACTTATTTTAGGTCGTTATAACCGTAGTTCGTTATAGACATTTATACAACATATAAACAGCAAATGGCTGAGACAAAAAACAAAACAGTTTGCAAGATCGGCCAGTTTATTATAAGTGTGTTCATTATGAACATAGTTTACCATGTTTACTGTATTTTTGTAATGGAGAAATCATGAAAATCTTTAGATTCGAGGCTCATGTGATTCCATTTCCATAATTCAACAGATTCAAGTGATTTCTCCGGCTTTAACATGGTTATGGTTCGTATAAGTTATTGGGCCATTTAATTCCTGACTCAACTCCCAACACGACCAGCTGACATCATCATACTGGTTTAAATGATTGATGTGTTCATCTCCGTCTCACTTAAACTAGTACATGCTGGCCCAGTTGTTGTTAAATGTTTCACCAGCAGGTTTGGGTCAATGCATTGTAATATGATACATGTAGGGTCCAGTGAATGCTCACTGCTGCTAATGGAGGAGGGTCAATGGACAATTACAATCTCTTCTAAAGAAATGTTGGCGAGGAAAGGCAGGTTTTCCTGAATGATTTAAATAGAGATTGTAAATTAAACCTGAAATGATATTTAGCTCACCTTACTGAGTCATCTTAGCTAATGTTGTGACCTGTTTGTCCGTATGATGACATAAAAAATAGTTCAATTCATTGATTTTGGTGTTAGTGCTTTGGAGATTAATTATGATGACATCAATGCTGACACCAACTTTTGTTCAGTGCCTGTCTTTGTTTTTGAACTCATATCCAGGTGAGCTAGTGCTGTGGCATTATATTTTTATAAAGTGGAGAGCTGAAAAAGTTGGGTTAATAATGTGGCCCAGTTACTGACACTGTCTCAATATTTGAAGATAAATACATGTACACACACACACACACACACACTCTCACACACACACACACACACACACACACACACACACACACACACACACACACACACACACACACACACACACACACATATTCTCTCTCACTCTCACTCTCACTCACACATACACGTCACAAAAAAAATTCAGTTCAATGTCAGTCAGTAACTTTAGAAAATTATAATGACTTATGGAAATAATAAGCTGAGAAATATATGACATATTTTGATCTGATTCACCCCCACCCCTGCATCTTTGCGTATGAACCAAGAAAATTGCACTAGTTTTGATAATGCTGTGTTATTTCGTTGGCATGTTTTCCTTTAACGTTCGGCGTTTATGTTTGCAGGTGTTGGTATCGGCATGGTTATCGTATCGGGCATTGTGTGCGTGTACTACAACGTCATCGTGGGATACACCGTCTACTACCTCTTCATGTCATTTAGGGCAACACTGCCGTGGAGCCACTGTAACAACGAGTGGAACACAGAAAACTGCGTGGACAGCAAGAACTACGGCAACACCTCAACTATCAGGAACTACATCATCAACAACTGTCTAGATGGGAACGCGACGGTCGTGCCGAGTGAATTATCTGGCCTTGTCCCTAGCAACTCTTCTGAATATTATATAGAACAGACGTTCTACGGTGCTGGCAAAGTGTGCTCCAACCAGAGCTTCTCTGACCTTCTCGAGAGCCTCAACACAACAGACAAGAGCATGTCGGCCAGTGAACAGTTCTGGGAGTAAGACTATTTTTCACAAAGTCCAAAATGATTTGCTTGTTGTGATGTCATCTTTACTTAGCAACGTGTTGTGTTGAAATCTTATGTCAGAAATTGTCATTTCATCACAAAAAACCAGCTGCTGTGTTCTAAATGTTGCTTTGTTTCCATGGGAGTTCCAGCGTAGAATTGGTCCCCTGTAATCTATACTTGTCGTAAGAGGGTACTATATGGATCATGTGATCACGGTGACCTTGTTGATTGCATCATAACCTCATTGTGTGGTTGCTGCTCATAATATCAATCACTGGTTTGTCTGGTGAAGACTTGATTATTTACAGGCTGTTGTAATAAGACTCGACTATTGCTAAATGTGGTGTCAAATAACAAAAAAAGCAATTATTAAGTTACCAATCATGTCTTTGCAAGAACAATTATGAATAACATCTTTTTTAATTTTTGTGACAACATTTCAGGGCTACTTCTTGCTCCTTCACCCAAAAAGTGTCATTGTTTTTTTAGGTACAATCATTTGTATATCGTGTTTGATTTTAAAAAAATATTTTGTTTTTAGGCACCATGTGCTGGAGCTGACCAATGGTATAGAGGACATAGGGACCCTGCGATGGCAGCTGTTGATTTCCCTCATTGTTGCCTGGCTGTGTGTCTTCTTCTGTCTCTTCAAAGGGGTCAAGGTCCTTGGAAAGGTCAGTTTCTATCCCTAATAAGAACAGAGTTTGTCTGTCCGTCTGTTACTCAAAGGGGACAAGACAGGAAATTTTACACACTGATGTTACTGGTCATTATCTCAATTGACTACTAAAATTGGCATCATACATTCATATTTTTGTTATGGCCCTTGCTCCCTGCTTTTTAACTTACTGCGTACTGCGTGAAATAGGGACAAGATTTCTCAGAAACTACTGAAGTTACATGAATGAAAGTTTGCATGCTTATCTTAGAAAGATTTGCCAAGACTGGGTTCGAAATGTGGTACCGTACATTATGTTTTTACAGAGTTATGGCCCTTGATCCATGTTATTTTACTATTGCATAGTGTCTGCAATGGGGACAAGTTTACTGTGAAAATACTGAAGTTAACTTATCTAAGTGATAATTGTTTTCCCAGGGAAGGGGCCTTTTGTGTGTGTATAAATTTCACATTTATACTTTTTTCTGATGACGTAACGTGGCCCAAGTGCCTATCTCTTTTTAAGGCTTAATGTTTTTTTATATTCACTGCTATATGAACAGTCAAATTTATAAAGTGCCCCATGGTGGGGAATAACACTGTTTTCTTGTTTATTAGAACTTTAATACTGGGAAAATAGAATCAGATAGGTAAATAAAACGAGGCAAAACCCTTTCCATAAGAAATATCTGATAGCCAAAAATAGACTAGATACCACAATGAACGTTTTGTTCTTCCATCTTTGTTGAAAAAGTCTCCTCAATTTGATCTGTGACATGTTCATATTAGTTTAACAAGTAGCATTTGAGGGCAATGATTCTAAACCAGTTCTCAATGCTCCATTTTTGCTGCAAATTGGAACTGAATATTATTGACAGAAAATGTATCATTTTTGTTTTGTTCAAGACGAACTATCTACAAACACCAACAGTTCTAAGTAGATATTTCTACAAAGGCTGCTCTGCGAGTTTTGCATCTATTTCTGCACCATCATTATCTGTGATGACGTTGTGTTGTCAGGTGATGCACTTTGCGGCTCCTTTCCCTTACCTGGTGTTGACGGTGTTGCTCATCCGAGGTGTGACGTTACCAGGAGCGATGGAGGGTATCAAATACTACATCATACCCCGGTTCGAGAAACTGGCCAACTTCCAGGTGAGAAACAACCGCAATGAATACACAATGCCATTTAGAAAGCGGTCAAATGTAAGAAATGCTATATTTGGGATTACACTTTCTTAGTGAAGTACAGATTCTAGTACTTCTTTGGGTTGAGTCCCATGGAAGAACCTCCATACTACACAACAGTACAAGGGGCGGTCGGGTAGCCTAGTGGTTAAAGCGTTCGCTCGTCACGCCGAAGACCCGGGTTCGATTCCCGACATGGATACAATGTGTGAAGCCCATTTCTGGTGTCCCCCGCCGTGATATTGCTGGAATATTGCTAAAAGCGGCGTAAAACCATACTCACTCACTCACTCACTCACAACAGTACACTCCTGTTGAGATTCCAGGGCAGACTAGATGTACCATATTCCTTGTATCAAGGACCACAGGTGCTCAGATAATTAAGAAAAGGGTCTCTTATTGAAACCATACAAGTTTAGATTTGATGTCAGACTTCAAGCTGATCCGAACGCTGTTCGCATGCCGAATGCATGATTCAATCTTTTCTCTGTTTGTTTGTTTGTTTGTTGTTTAACGCCGCACTCAGCAATATTCCAGCTATATGACGGTGGTCTGTAAATATTCGAGTATGGACCAGACAATCCAGTGGTTGACATCATGAGCATCGATCTATGCAATTGGGATATGATGACATACATCAACCAAGTCAGCGAGCCTAACTACCCAATCCCATTAGCTATATGATCGCGGTCTGTAAATAATCAAGTCTGGGCCATAGAATCCAATGATTGACATCATGAGCATCAATCCATGTAATTGGGATATGATGACATGCATCAACGCAGTCCGTGAGCCTGACAACCCAATCCTGTTAGTTGCCTCTTACGGCAAGCATGGGTTGCTGAAGACCTATTCTACCCCGGAATCTTCATGGGACCAATGTTTTTACTGTATCTGAGTTGCCCCAGGTGGAAATAGCACAAAACCGTAAAAGTAAAAGGTTTGAAACAAGATGTGCCTTGCATGTAGAATGTGTTGACTGTTTCAGGTTTGGGGAGATGCAGCACTGCAGATCTTCTACTCTGTCGGCATGGCGTGGGGCGGTATCATCACCATGGCCAGCTACAACAAGTTCAGCCATAACGTGTACAGGTAGGATATTATACACGATATTATACCCTGGTTACATAGGGATTGAGTGATCATCATGACTGCTGAGAATGAACAGTGTATCTCAAAGATTTAGATTATATTTTGTTAGAAAAGATGGACATTTAGACCTGTACAGTTTTTTGTAACTGCATCCTTCTGTTATGAAAAATATTTTTGTAAAATACAGTAATTTCTTACCAGTAAGTACATTAATAAATACATACTTTGAGAAAAAAAAAGATTGTTTAATGTTTAAGCAAAGGAAATATATTCTGCGTATCTCTGATCCATATATTTTGTCTGACCAATATTATTGTTAAAATCAAGGGGCCACAGGTGGCCCAGTCGTCTAAGGTGCCGCAATTCACTGTGCAGAGTTGCGTCCCTTGGACATGCCAGAAACCTATGATTGTGGGTTCAAATCCAGGTTCACCCCAATTATGTTTCTAGGTTTGTCAGCACCATACACGTGCTCGTGGGTTTCACCGAAGTGGTAAACGTCTGAGACCTGCATCACTTCAGGCTTTCTTCCCACATTAAGCTGACACGCCGCAATATAACTGGAATACTGTTAAAAGCGACGATAAACCCAACTCACTCACTATTGTTTCTGTTTTCAGGGATGCTATGATTGTCCCACTGATCAACTGTGGCACGAGTATCTTTGCCGGTTTTGTGATCTTCTCTGTTCTTGGGTTCATGGCTCATGAAGCCGGAACGACCATGGAAAAGGTCGTAACACAGGGTAAGGTCACACTGCAACCTTGAACTTTCAAACTTTTGATCTTTGACCCACAGAAATGTTATTTATAATGGCAATACCATACAGATACTGTGGCGTTAAACAACAAATATGCAAAGCTGTTTGTCAGTAAATCAGAACAAATTTTTTGCACTTTGAACCAGGGGTCCGGAAACCGTCATATGCGCCGGACATGTCCGATTGGGAATCTCAAATGTCCGTTTTAAAATATTGCTTACCGGACATTTTAAAAAGTATTGTACGGACATTCCTAAATTTTGACCGGACATGATCAACAGTTAGGACTGAGCAGTTTCTGTCTGCAGTTGCAACACAATGAAGATTAACTACACTGACAAGCTTTGTTTGTTTTGATTGCTGTAAATACATCGTACCTACATGATAGTCCAATCGGTCAATCACTGTAATAGGCAATAAACTGAGTTGACACTGATTAATCGAGGATTAATTACTGAGAACATCTTGTTAATTTGAGTGAAAGGTGTTTACAACTGTACATTAATACCTTGCATCATTGATGCTACGATACGTAACCTCAGACAAGAAGCGAAAGCTCGACGACAGCCAGTCGACCGATGTAGATCAGTCGAGCGGATCTGCCAAACCCTCAAAGTCTGGACGATCATTTTGTAAGTCGTGGCTAACGACTTTCACTTGGTTGACATACAATGAGGATTTGCAGATTTTATTGTTTTCAGTAGCTAGTCGTATATTGAATCTTGATTGACCGCCATTTTGCTTTCTCGGACGATCGATATCCAATTTTTTTATGGTCAATAAATAAGTACAGATGAAAAAAGTATTCAAATAACTATTGCTATCAACAATATTTTAGTATTTGTGATTAAATTATCTGTCTCGCTTTTAAAAAAATCTTTAGTTTAAAAAAAAAATTTCCTGTGAGGTCACGTGACAACTAAATATGGGATAATAGTCTCGATCCAAATGTTACAACGCGTACACTTGAGCAGACTCATGAATATAACTCATGAATATTAATTAGACCGTTCACTACGTTAACAGATCGTTATTATAACAGAAACAAACGTATGTTTTCCATGTAAATCTAAAATGATATTATTTGTTATTAATTGTCCGGTGAATTAAACAATTTAAATTGAAACAATTCATAATTCATCATATTATGAATACGTAAACTTGTAATGTGTGTGAAAAGTCGTACTAAAATACGCTATTTGAAGGGGGCGTGGCCTAAATGCAAATGTCCGATTGGGATTTTAAATTTTCCGGACCCCTGCTTTGAACTCATACACATGTGTTGAGAAATGTACGGTGGTTTATGTTTTTTCTTTCCCTTCCACAGGTCCTGGTCTGACGTTTGTTGCATACCCTGAGGCCATTGCTAAACTGCCGATCTCTCCGCTGTGGGCAGTGCTATTCTTTCTTATGTTGTTTACCATTGGCTTGGATAGTCAGGTGACTTTTTTCTACCATTACATCGGCACTTTTATTTCTGGAACCTTAGAAAAATCTGCTCAAACAACATTATCTGGTGTTTCAAGAAAAATAATTAATAAAGACCAACCTGTTTATAAGATGCATCATGAGCGACCATTTTGCATGCATAGCAATGTGCGGCTGTCTGTGAAATCGGAACCCACCGTGCACCAGCAAACTGTAATGGCAGGAGTGATTGCTTCGGATTATGTTGGTTTGAATAGTTTGAGTGTGTTGCCATGGATATGGTTGTATTGATTATGTTTGTTGGAATAGTGTTATGAAAGCGTTGCCATGGATACGGTTGTATCCGATGTTCTGCTGGTCACAGAGGTCACATGACCTGGGTTCCTTTGTCAAGGACACCGACGACATAGATTATACATGGGAGATGGACATATGGTGCTCAGTTTGAAAAAAACACATTTTTTATTAATTATGATTAAAACATTTTAGGACTTCAGAGACATGACTGATACTTAACACATTTTAATTGATGAAATTCTATTATTTCCTTATTGAGTTTTTACACCTGCATGGAAATTTTGAGGTTGCACATAGCAGCAAAAGCGGGAATCATATTTGCCAAAAGACTAGCCTCCATCTTTGATTTTTTATTTAGATTGTTTTTATCTCGAAAGCAGATGTATCCGCTGCATGGACAATGTGTTGACAAGATGAATGTTTAACAAGCTATTTTAATAAGACACTAAAACAATTAATTTCCTTCCTGATTCGTTTCCTGTATTCGCCACATTTTCGCGGATGTCATGTTCTCCTAAAATGTTACTGAGATGTTTCTCTAAGTGCACTTGCGATAATTTTGTGATTCGGGAAATGTGTGAAACTTCATGTGTTCAAAAAAGAAAGAGAATCATAATGTATAATTCTATCTATATAATCTTTGTATTTTTTAAAAATACCCATTTGGTTTTATGTTCCAATAATTGAAATTCAGAATGATTTCGTAATTTGCCATTTTTGACAAAGGCCATTACACATGTTAAAAATTCATTTTGAATGCAAATTTGAATTTCACTTCCCACTGAATCGTGAGCACATTATTCAGGTTCAATCTGTTGATGAGTCAGTGGTTACTAGAATAAGAGGTTGATTTTCTTAATTAATGTTTCTTAATGACAATAACCTCAAATATTTCCAAATTTAGTGTTTTCTTGAAAATAACTTTCCAAATTTAGCATATTTACTGACAATACTGATGAAAGATGTAATGCAGTTTAATAAAATGTTAAATGTATTTTGACATACATCGAAATTTATTTCATTATTATGAACCACTGACTGTTTGTTTTGTGATTCACATGTACCTAATCTTCATATAAAGGAGTCTTTTTTCAGGTTTGTAGTATTCAATGAAGTTTTACTGTCAACCCTTGCAAGTAAAGGTTTGAAAACTTTTAAACATGGTGCCAAAAAAAACATTCTAACAGACACCAGAATTTTCTATTTGTACAGACGCCCAGTTTCATTTCAATTTTCTCAAGACACGGGAGTATTTTTCTGAGACTGTGGGACAAGTATCAATGTTAAAACATATTAAAAAATTCACGTTAAAATTGAATTCTATTTTACTTTTGAATTTTGGGGCTTCAATTCTTTCCCATTTTCTGTTTATGTCTTCAGAAAAATATTCCCTTCATAGTGAAAAATATTTCTATGATCTGGCAAATGATGGAAAGAATGCCTGCAGTTTCAAAAATACATCATAGTTAAATTCAAAAGAAAACACATTACTATTTCAGTTACTGTTTTTGGTTTGAAGTAATGAGTAAAAAATTGTTTTGTTCTTTGAATATCTCAAAAAATGGAACTGAAAAAAAAAAATTCTTTTAAAGAAACCAGGCAACAAAACAAATTTGAAAAATCAGAAATGACACTTGCAAAAACTTCATTTTTCATGTGGACTGTTGGAATTGGTGCAAAATGTAAGACTCTTTCCAAAGATACAAGTTAAAAAGATTGAAAAAAATCCACTTAAAATGTTAAAAATTCCATGGAATTAATGCAATTATGCAATGATGTTACGAGATGACTTTATCTTTGGAAAGATGCTGTACTTTTTTGCCATTATGGAGTCTCTGATATGACAGACAATGGACATTAAGTCATTGCAGTATGAGCGTGCACTCGATGCGTGTTGATGGGTAAGACTAATATGTTTGTGACTTTTGTATGTTTAATATTCTTTTGTTTTCTGTATTGGGTATTGGGGAGATAGATTAAAGATTCATGGGGCAATGGGGAAATCTGTGTTCAGAAAAGAAGGTTAATGTCGGGAAGATTTGGGATCGTACTGGTTAGCTTTGTTAGCTGGGAAAGTAATGAAGGCTGCAATTTTCTTTTAATGAATTAATTTTTAACTAATAACTACTAAGTATATGGATGGAGGATGTGTGACCTATTTCTGTATGGTGGATTTATGAGAAATAGTTTGGGATAAAGTATGTTTTAGATGAAGCTTTTATTTTCAATGTTCATGGAAATTTTGAAATGTTTTATTGTGATGGACAGGGTTTGAAAGTTTGGAGAGAAATATAGGTAGAAACAGAATATATTTGTGATGGAGTGGGTGGGGAAATGCTGGTATTGTATGTTACAATAAAAGTAGGAGGAGGAATTTGTTTGACAGGAGAGAAAAACAACCAAAATTTTGGGATTGTTATTTTTTATTATGTCCAAACCTAGGTGAAAAGAAACAACTATGGGTGTGGGGTTTAATGTGGGAGGGTGCATTAAGCATATTGCAGTGTGTGCAGAATGCTTTGATACAGGTGTGATGTTCATGTGCTTAGTCATTATTGTGACACAATTGATGCATAATCATATTTCATCATTCCAGTACATGGATTCAAGTGGTTTAACAAACCTAAATTAACAATAAACAAACATGCCGTTAATTAAACAATAATTCAGGAGGAGGAATGCCCCAGAACTTACTCCCATCGTAACCCCAGAATCTAACAGAATAGTCTAGCTGCAATATTTTTCAGATTTGCATGCAGTGATACTGTCGCCAAGCTATAACCGTTTTCTCAACACAATATCACCTTCCTGCTCTTTGCTTTCTTCTGCCTTTTCCCTAATCTGTGTAGAAACTAACAATGGATGCAGCCAGCGTGGAATGGCTTTCATTTGGCAGTATGTGGCTTTAGATTTGCTCAACACAGCTTCATTTATCATCGTCAGCTTCAGCACTGAATAGGATGCTTGCCTTGAGTAGAGGGAGATAACTCTGTACAGCATTTGGCAAAGGGAGATAACTCCCACACATGTATCCTAATATGGCTTTTGATTTGACTTTTATACCAGGATATGGAACATTTACATATTCTTCTTGCTTTGTTTCATTTTGTCATACCATCATTCATTTGTATGAAAGACCAAAAAAATGTTGCACACACATCGGATGAGACAGTCATGATTTTTGTAAATCATCCTAACAAACCATTGACACTTATTTCGATTTTGAAAATATTCTTTGTTGACATGTACCATGTTTACCACAACTCTGGTTGCTTCAAGTGAAATTTATTTCAACAAACAATTCATTGTGCTTTGAAAATTGAAGTAGAAGTTTAACTTCAAAAACCTAACAAAAGTGCCTGATTGGATTATCCATACTTTACTGTTTTATCTTTTAGGTGAATTTGATGTACTAACGTTGGGGTATTTTAGAAAATACCAAGAGAATAAACATTCAAAAGTATAGAAAAAAAGACAAAAGAGATAAAAACATGCATGGTAGTGATCAGTGCACACGTGACTTCCCCAGCACTTAACAAAAAATGGTAGATTTAAATTTCTAGACACGCAAATGTACTTAATGTGGTAGAAATAGAGCTTTAATTTCTTGCTTTGTAGAGCATGACATAAGACAAGCCACTCAAACCAAGGAGGATTATCATGGTAGCGGATTCTGTGTGATCCCTTTAAATGAGATTTCTAACTGCTTTGAACAGTATTCCAGTTATATCGCAGTGTGTCAGCTTGATGTTGGAGGAATGCCCGAAGTGTCCAGATAGTAAGTTAAAATGTAACGTCACATCGGCAATATTTCCGCCATATCGTGATGATGTACAGATAGTACTTTAGTGGAATTACCATATATGGAAGAACTTTTAATTCCTTTCAGATCTTGTTCTGCATTCTATAATGGCTTGTTTGTTGTAAATCAGATGAATTTACGTTCCAAACAATATTTATCGAAAATATTTCTGAAAAAGATCGCAAAACTGTCTTCAAATACATGTGTTAACACAAAGAATCACACTTACGATTTAGATCCTTGGAATATTGTTGACATAAGTGTCAAATTGAAGAACTATATACAGAGAATCTTCTTGTTTTGAGTGCACTGAAACTAAACACGATTTTTTGGTGTCGTTCTTTTGTTTTGTTGCATTTTTCCTGTGCTGGCTTTTGATTTTAGTACTGTCAGATCCCTACAGTAAGGTGATAGAGAAGTGGTTGGCGTAGTAACCATATCTGTATCAATACCCCTGTGACAGATGGATATAGGAGGATATGGCGCTGTGCTTGACTCTGGGGTTGCATGCAAGGATTAATATTAATAACTGTATGGTCAACAGAATGATAATAGCGGAAAGCATATTTAGGAATATATTTAAAATACTTGGCATCCTGAACTTTTTGAAACAAAATTTCTTTTTGAAGAAATTAATCAGACAAATTTGAATCTAGAAATTTGGAAATAAATAATTTTATGAAATAATAATTTGGAAAAGCTAATACACTATGAAAATAGGAAATGTAAGAACATTTTTGAAAAGTTTTATGTAAAATAATTTACTGGATTATTTTGTTTTACAACTTTAATAAAAAAAATTACAACTTTGAGTTTTGTTGTGGACAGATATGACCTGAGTTTGAAATTCTACATCCAAGGACACGGTACATGTACTTTGATCATATCTGCTGAAGAAACACAATAAAAATCAATCATCAACGTAAACTCAAAATCAGTAAAGATTTCTTTTTCTTCTTAAGTCCATTTCCAAAGATATAGAATGGGATTCAAACCCATACAATATTGTCGTTTGATTAACTCATGCCTAAATACCCAGAACAACTTAATTTAATTTTGGGTGCATTTTACCAATTATTATAAAAAAAAATTAAAATGCATTTTCAAAGTGTCACAGTGTACAAATTTTTCTTCAGCAAACTCATTTTGAAATTCTATTTAAATCTGACAGCAAGTGGATATTATATATGAACAATTGAAACAGCTTCCTTGATCACACATGACACCGGTACCAAAGTTACAGTTTGGATCTGAATCAAGTCCTTGGCTGTAGAGTTAAGCACGACAATCCAAGAGAGGAAACCAATTAAGTTGATGAAGAATTAATGCTAGGGAAAAAAGAAAAAAACTATATAGTTCATTTAAACCCAAAAATATGAAAATCGTATCAGGCAAGCACAAAAAAGAGAGATCATTCTTTTATTTTATTATTAATGAAAAGATACCAACATTCACTAAAATAGAGAAAACAACTGAAGGCATTCAAGATGAGAACTAACTTAAAAAATCCAACAAGCAGCTGAATTCTCAGGAATTCTTTAAAAAAAAAGAAGTAGCAAAGTATCTTAGAAAGTAGAATTTTCTACTGGCAGTGTTGGTAAGCTGCATTTACGTTAAAATGTTCTCCTCTGTTCTCTCAGCAAGGTCACGGTGGGAGGTCAAGGCCGGGTCAGGGCGCCGGACCGGTCTTCAACAACACGATGCCACCAGTCTGCTAGGTTTTGTTGACACGTTATGAACTAGACAACAGTCTATCTTGTGTTTTCTGTTATCACATTACAGAATACATCAGCTTGTACCAGGGAGGTCTCTTCAAGATTTAAGTAAATGTTGGATTTAGTTATTTTGTAGATTCGTCATTAAAATTTACAGTAATAGTGTTTGATTCTAAGGTAGAATTTTCGATTCTTTTTATAAGATTAATTTTATTACCTTTTAACAACATATATGAAATTATTTTATGTTGATTTTGATGAATGATATTTTTGTAAATATTCTGAATAATTTTTGTTTCATTGTTTCATTAAGAAGATGTTTTTTATCCATACTACATATATTTCCTCATTTGTTTTCAAATTAGATGACATATGAATTTGCTTGAAGGACAATTAGTTGCATGAGCTTCCCCGGTACATCAAGCCTCATCTCAACTTTGCTTTCAAAACATTTTTGTGTGACTTGTGAAAGTTTTCCACCACAAAACACACATCATCTCAACATTCATGAGTAGCCAAGAGGAACAGAACTCAAATGTTTGATATTGGTGCTGTAAATGACACAAATATTGAGTGATAATGTAAACAAATAAATGTTTACATCTGAGGTGAAAAGTGCTTTGGCCTCTTATACTTGATTCCTTGTGTGAAGTTTTTGGAAAGCATCTGATATCCAATGTTTGAGTTCTGTGTTTATGAACAAAAACCAAAACTATTTTATATGTTTATAACACACAAAAAACAAAATACTGTATTAGCAAAATTCCAAAGTTTCAAGTTTGATTTCCTTTTACTCATGTATTAAAGCTAACAAACTATATATGGAACACATTGTTTCGGACTACAGGTTTCTCAAAAATATTACTTACTATACAAAAAAATTGCCTTTTTTGCACAAAAAAGAAAATTCAAAATATGCAAAAATGTATATGGGACTTATGCAGGTTTGCACAAAAAAAAAAAGCTTTGGAATTCGTGACTAATACATTAAATTTAGGGATCACCCTTCATTGTCTCTTTAGATGACCATAGCATTGTTATATTGTTATTTTATTGGTTGTTATGGAAACACTTTGAACATTTCTTGGTGTTTTGAAAACATAAACGCTCACATTCTCCAAAGGTCACAACTTCAGCATGGCAAGGAAATGGTATCTATTCTGATCAGCACTTCATAAATTCATGCACAATAACCCATTACCATGTAGCATAGACACAAATGATCTTGTTCTGAGCTTTTATATTTGAAAAGGCAAGAAATGTTCCCATTTTATGCCCTTGTATGTTAGATCTATGTAAATGTTCGTTCAGAATGGTCTGTATCAATGACCATGCAGACCACACTGACGAAGGTTTACAGGTAGATTACTCAAAGCATTTATGTGCTTTTGACCAATAATTGATGTATGATATATAGTTATGTGTTGAGCCACATACTGAGCATGATTCCCCCTTTCCCCCCTTGCTCTGTTGTTCATATATCACTGTATGCCGCCTATGTTGATATGGAGCACCTCTTGAAGTACTTTTTGTTTTCTTTCATTAGTTTGGAATGTTCGAGACAATGTTGAGTGGAGTCATTGATGAGTATCCCAAATACCTGAGGAACAAGAAAGTCCTGGTGACGGCAGCTTGCTGCTTCTTCGAGTTCATTATTGGACTACCCTTGATAACACAGGTGACTGCTCTAGGGGCTTTTTTCTCTTGCAATAGTGTTGGTTGGTTGGTTGGTTGGTTGGTTGGTTGGTTGGTTTAACGCCGCACTCAGCAATATTCCAGCTATATGACGGCAGTCTGTAAATAATCGAGTCTGGACCAGACAATCCAGTGATTGATATCATGAATATCGATCCACGTAATTGGAATCGATGACATGCATCAACCAAGTCAGCGAGCCTGACCACCCGATCCCGTTAGTCGCCTTTTACGACAAGCATGGGTTGCTGAAGACCTTTTCTATCCCGGAATCTTCACGGGGCTGCAATAGTGTGACAATAGTACCCCACACTATTGCAATAGTATGCGATAGAATTAAATACAACTGTAAGACTTGATAATTATATTAATCAGTGTAATAGAAATGAATACAGTATCGCCAACAATTTCAAAGTCAGGAATTTTCTCACTACTCAGACCAAGGGAAGTAACTCTAATCTGAAGTTAATCAACACATGGCGGGTTTGAAATCGTCTGTAACAACTGAGTGTTCAGACTGTCTGGCACGATGTGGCTTCTTTTAAGTTAAAGAAATTAGCATCAAAGTAGATTGACCACCTCCGTGGTCCAGTGGTAGTGTTGTGGGTTTGATCCCCGGCAGCGTCATACCAAAAGACATTAAAAGATGGTACTTGTTGTTACCCTGTCTGGCGCTGGGCATTAAGGGGCCAAGACAAGGACTGGTCGGCTTGGAGTCAGTATACTGTGTCTGAGTGGGGTATTCATGTTAAACTGTGGCATGGTATCTCAGTGTACTAGCACTATAAAATCGGCATTTGTCCAGACTAGTACAAGCAGACACACACACACACACACAATTTTTTATGTATTGGAGAAAACACGCTCACGAGGTTTTGGTAGACAGAGCATGCCCTGGGGAGAGGGAAAAACCAAGGGGGCGAAGCTGTTATGCTGAAGCATATGTTCCCAATATGACACAGTAGATGGTGAGTGAGTGAGTATGGTTTTACGTCGCTTTTAGCAATATTCCAGCAATATCACGGCGGGGGACACCAGAAATGGGCTTCACACATTGTACCCATGTCGGGAATCGAACCCGGGTCTTCGGCGTGACGAGCGAACGCTTTAACCACTAGGCTACCCGACCTCCCCCACAGTAGATGGAGATTGACTATGTGATGTGTGTGTTCCAGGGAGGTATCTACATCCTGCAGATCATGGACTGGTACTGTGCCAGCTTCTCCCTTATGCTGATCTCCCTCACCGAGTGTCTGGCTATCTCCTGGTGTTACGGTGAGTCGGGATGTTCATGAAGTTGTAGCAGGGCGTGGAGTCATCCTACAGATGACATCCTTACCTTGTCAGCTTGCTGACAGGGTTAACCTCTTTGGTCATGTGGACAAGGCGTCCGACCTCGGATCAGAAGGTCCGTGGTTCAAATCCCATCATGGGACTCGGTAATTTTATGGACGCTACATTGGCGCCCAACGTGGGGCTGAGCACGTTCATATTAAATTTGAGAAAAATTAGCCTCAGTACCCTACTATGCGGCCTTCTGTTGACGGGGGAGTATGTAGCAGGGCGTGGAGTCATCCTACAGATGACATACTTACCTTGTCAGCTTGCTGACGGGGTTAACCTCTTTGGTCATTTGGACAAGGTCATGTGGACAAGGCGTCCGACCTCGGATCAGAATGTCCGTGGTTCGAATCCCATCACGGGACTTGGAAATTTTATGGCCGCTTCAAAGTGATGGGGTCCATCTAAGAGATTTCACTGACACCATTACACAAACAGATCTTAGTGCTTAGAGGAACGTGACTCCCATGCTAAGCCCAGTTACTAAGTGAAATGACGGCTATTTTAGGCTTGAAAAGGTGGAGTTGTATTTCTATGATCTACAGTTGATAGTTAATTGTTTCAGGTACTGATCGGTTCTGCAAGGACATTGAGCTGATGATTGGCTACCAGCCCCATCGGTGGTGGAAGTACATGTGGAAGTATGTCACTCCCTCCGTTATTTTGGTGAGTATAGTGCCGTCATTCTATCTGACCTCATCGTTAGTGGCTTTGGAGTGTTTCAGAAGTGCTATGTTTTTACATGAAGCAGATTTTGATATTAAATTATTCATGTGTAGCAAGGGGTGGAGTCATCCCACAGATGACATCCTTACCTTGTCAGCTTGCAGACAGGGTTAACCTCTTCGGTCATGTGGACAATGTGTCCGCCCTCAGATCAGAAGGTTCATGGCTTGAATCCCGTTACTGGACTTGAAAATTTTTTGGCCGCTACACATGGTACACATATCTAAGACTCAATCCATTCCTGGTAAATTCTCAGATCTGTTACATACTTCCAATGTATGTCCGATCTTCTTGTATATCCTTTCCATGACCCAAAAATATTGAAACATTATGATTTTTCGTTTCAAAACGCCTGGGTTTTTTTCCGGAAGAACAACCAAACCGTGATTTAACTTAATGAAATATGAGCTCTAAAATCATTTTTTAACATCCAGTCATTTAGTGATATTTGTAGATAAATATCTTCAAGAGTTCCATAAGTAAATGAGGAAGAACTGTCATTAGACCAGGAAAGATGTATCTCATAAACTGCAGGCTTCAAGTCTGTTGGCTGAAACGTTTGGTGCAGATCTTTATAATGGCATGATACAGAAATTATTACCAAAAATATTGAACGAAAAACATAGTGAAAATTCTTTATGTTAAATCCATGTTTGTTGCTCTCTTGAAAAAACAGGTGAAGATGGTAAAGGGACAAACACGGAACCCAACAATATGATGGGTGTATCACAAGTATTTGCATTGCCAATATTCTTCTTGCAGTTCATCTGGTTGTTCAGTGTGATTACTCTCGGCCCCGTGACGTACGGAGACAAGGAGTATCCCCAGTGGGCTATCGTTGTCGGCTGGTCGTTAGGGATTATCTCCGTCCTGCCAATTCCTATCATGATGGTGGTTCAGATGTACTTGGCAGAAGGAACGCTAATGGAAGTAAGTGCTCAGATCGCGTGGAAACTTTACTCTTTATCTCGTCAGCAGCAACTTCATATTGCAACTTGCCATTTAAGTCTAGAGACCAGAGCAGGCAGGGGTTGTGAGAGGGTCATCATCTGACGTAGACAAGAGCCACTTGTATGGGGTACTGTGGATCTGTGAGTGGTTTGGGTGGGAGGGGTGTTCCTCTGATGCAGATGGTGGCCACTTCCATCTTGAACTAGGGGGCGGGGGGGGGGGGGGGGGGGGTTCCTCTGATGTAGATGGTGGCAGTTTACATTATGCATGTACAATAAAAAAGCTTCTGAAAGTTTTGATATAATTGTTATTGATAAGAGACAATATGTATATGAAGTTACCAACTTAAAACTGTAAGCAAAACACTTCCAATTGCAGAGATTCCGGAAACTTACCAAGCCATCTCCAGAATGGGGTCCAGCATTGACAGAAAATCGGCTGCGATACTACGAGTCGTTGGGGCTTGATGACCCGTCATCTGTTCAATCTGTACTCCCGTCTAACGAAACCAGTCACGAATCCAAATCACCGGAACACTTGCCAGAACAGTTTGCATTATTGCCGCAAAGTGAAAAGGCATAGTCACTAGTCTCTAACGCTTAGGTACAGATGGGCACAAGTGTTGTCATGGCAATCAGAAATGTTACCATGGCAACCTGTTGTATTTTGTCAGTAAAACAGTATGAAGAGAAAAAGCTAAGATACTGGTGAAATTGACTATGACGTGGCGCCAAACCAAATTTGTGAAGAATTCCCCCACTTGCATCGACAATAGTTGTACATAGAAGCTGGGTATATATTGTTATGCACATCCCAGAACGGAGTGGGTATCCTGTTGCAGTACCGATGTTGAGGGCGTGAACTGTGACTTGCATCTCTCTTCCCCCTCCTCCAGGAGCGGGTTTCGTGTTGTGTGGACAAGTGTGTTCTCGGCAGTGTGAGAGTTGTAGCATTTGGCCTAATTAAGTTTGGAGTCTTAAAGACAGTTATGTTACTTCATAATTATTTACTAGAAGAATTTACAAGAATGTTATTAGAAAGGACTTCAAGTATAATTCCTAGTACCTTTACATAATATGTACATGAAAAGAACTCACCTTGCTATGTAACTTCATATTAGTGCTTTTGAACATATAATATTAAATAAGATATCCTTCTTATTTAACTAATAACTTTATGTAAAATTTATGCAAATTTGTAAGTGGTCGTAACTATTACTAATTAATAACATAATCAGGAACTAAGAAAAAGATTGACAGAATAATATTAAATGTTTTTCCGCTTTTAGAATTTTGTGTCCACTTTTATGACCTTGTGTTTTCAGTTAATATCTTTTTTGGAACAGAATTTACAAGCTATATAATTAGTGACAGCTGCAAATTTAAGGTATTTGTATCATGGCAATTCTTAAGTTCTTCATCATTGTAGGAACAATTATTTTCATCACATGTTTGTATGAAACACGCTTTGTGCACATCTATGTAAGTACCGGTAGGTAAGTGCAGCAATGCCTGAAGTGACTAGTATTATTGAAGAAAATCAAATGACCCATAAATCTTACTCTGTTTTGAGTAGAAGTATTTATGATCATGGAGATGTTTTCTATAACTGTGTTTGGAGCCATCTCTCTATCTCGCTGTGCACACAATTGTATGTATGTTGTGCTTTTGGGTTATGGTCAGTTTTGATATTTATTCATTGAATATTATCCAAAGATCTGGGAAATTTGTATTTCTGGAATAATAATCAAACATACCTCCATAGCTTACACACAGCTTATGTATGTTAAATGAAATTTGATAGTCAAATTTTGATGTGCCAAATTGTTTTACTTAGCGTCCAGCATTTCCTTCATGAAAATACCTTTTTTACATAAAGGTTAGGTTGATGAACCTTCTCCGGAACTAACTGTACTCTGTTAGATAGGAGCTAGTTTTATTTTATGGGTTTATGTTCCAAGTAATAATCCATCTTTTTAAAGAAATTATGAAACGGTATTGCCAATTATTGCATTATCTCACCATTTCTTTGTCTCATTTACATAATATATTACAATTTATATTATCAATTCTTTTCAAGATCATTAAAGTTTTCTGAAATATCTTTATTAGAATGTGACATCTAGTAATATTGGCCTGATATATCTGGCACACCCAACTTGTTAACCGTCATGTTATACAACAGTTGTCTTTGTGTATACATTTAGTACGGTGCTAAACAATAAAAGGTGGTGTGTATATGCTGCTGCTGCTGCCTCCTCAGAAAGATCCTAATGTCTTGATGGCGGTTAGCTGATGCCTTGATGCAGATATATGTTCACAAAGTCCAGTTGCATCTTTACTGTATCCTGTATGTGTGTGAATGTATGAATGTAGGTTATGTAGATGTGTTGCTTGTTAAATTGCCTACGTAAAACAAGCCTATCATTGTTTGAGAGCTGTTTTCTTTGAACATTTGTTGATTTTTAGTTGAAAGTATGTTAATTTAGCGTTACAGTAACAAAGTGATTTTTCAAAAGCTCAATCTCCCTGCTTGCAGATTATTGATGATGCGATGAGTACATGTCCGCTGTATATAATAAGGAATCAATGCAATAACAAGTACCATCGTCCAACAAGCATGTCTACATGTAACAACTATCACTCTACAGTTGTTGCTACCAAAACAATATGATTTTGTCAGATTTAAATTGATTGTCAACATTTGTCAAATATGAAAAAAATATATTAAGATGTGTATATTTTAATATTTATGGTTGATTTAAAGAAATTGATAGGTTAACACAATTAATGAATTCTTAATCAGTTCTAAGGATTTTTTCTTCCACATGCAATTGAGGAATTTTATAGATCTCAGAAATCTTTATTTAGCATTTTGTGTTTTATTTTGCTAATAAACCATTTTCATCATGACATGGTCATATCTTATCATCCTTCACACTCATGTTATATATATATCTCATGTCAGTTGTATATTTTACTGCATACTTGCTAGAATTACTTGACTTCATTGTGTATGTAGCCAGACATCTTGAGAAATGATTTTTAATGATGTTGATATAAGATTTGTATTGATAAGATGTACTTTTAAAAGATGATCCTCGTACACAGTCCAAAAATTGCTTGGTAAAAATTTGTAATGTGATTTTTAAAATGATTTATAGCTTTTTACTCATGAAGTGATCCTCAAATCAGGGGTATTATTGATGTGAATCATAAATAGTTGTCTGAAGCATTTGAATACTCGTTCATTTCATGATCGAAAACTTATTTTACCAGTAAAATACCTGTATATTTCTACTATTGCCTGAAAGTCCTTTTGCATCCTTATTAGTATGCTTATTTTTCTGGACATTTTATGCCGGATAGTAATTCGGTTGATATTCTAAGATATAGTACACTACCTTTATAGTGTCATATTCATTGATAGGGTTCTTAAAATTTCAATACCGATTACACTTACAAGTTAGGACGGATCACTGACTAAAGGTTGGTGCACATATTTAATGCCTTAATAGGTTCTCTGTCATAAAATCTTGTATCCATACAAAATGGGTCAATGAATATGAAAAGGATGATATTTTTAACAGGCATTACAGTTTAATGACAGTTGTGAAGCCATTCCTATTTTATTGGACTCAGGTTTACTAAATGTCATCATTTGGTCTTTTTAACGGAATTCTGTTACGGCCTTATCGTCCAAAAAGATTTTTGTCCACCTATTCAGAATACTGTAAATCTTGAAATTAACACGAGCGTGAATTAAATGTGATTGGTCTTTGCTCGCATTTTTAAACATCATATTTAATTAAGGTGAGGATTCTAAACCTGACTGAGGACATCTTTAGATAGAAATCCACTGGTGCTTGAGAGGAGGGAGTGTCGCATTCATATTGAGTTGCATTTTGGGCTAGGCTCCAGTGGTCGCATTCTTTTGGAGACGCATTAATTTCACGATTTACAGTATTGTCTACATTGCAACAGTGGCATGGCGAAGTGGAAACCAGTACAGACCCTTGTGGCTGCTGTATCTAACATTCTGCAGCTTATTTGGAGCAGAATGGTAATTGCATCATTTCAGCTTCTTAATAATTAAAATATTTCCGACACAGGTGAATAGTTCTCTGTGGCTACATGGTCAATTACAGATTAAATGTCAAATCTTGACATTACACAAAATGTCGTAGTCATCTGGACATAACTTGTGTGCCTTTGCTTTTCATCCTCTTCAGTACAAATATTTTAAACTTGTACATTTATTTGATTTTTTTTAAAATGCTTTGAATAAATAGCATTGGAACATGACCATGATTTTCTGTCATTTTGTTTTTCTGATTCAAGCCACCAGCAAAATGAGGGTCGGTTGGTTGGTTGGTTGGTTGTTTTACGTCTTACTCAGCAATATTCCAGCTATATGACGGCGGTCTGAAAATAGTCTGGACCAAACAATCTTGTGATTGACATCATGAGCATCGATCCAAGCAATTAGGATTGATGATGTGTATCAATCAAGTCAGCGAGTCTGACCACCCGATCCCGTTAGTCGCCTCCTTCGATAAGCATAGTCGCCTTTTACAGCAAGCATGGGTTGCTGAAGACGTATTCTACCCCGGATCTTCACGGGAAAGATAACGAGGGAGTCTGGTTCAGCAGCACTTTGAAAAGTAGATTGTTAATGTCACCGTACATTGCAATGCCCAAGTGATGGAGGTTGGGGATACTGAGGTGTAATTGGGATTCTAGTGTATTCCAGATTGCTTGTTATGGTCCGGACTAATGCTGATTTTATAGTGCTAGCCCACAGAGATACCATGCTGCAGTTTAACATGAATACCCCACTCAGACACAGTATACAAGCTGACCAGCCCCTGTTAGCCCCTTTATGTGACTCCAAGCCGACCAGCCCCTGTTAGCCCCTTTATGCGACTCCAAGCCGACCAGCCCCTGTTAGCCCCTTTATGCGACTCCAAGCCGACCAGTCCTTCTGTTAACCCCTTTATGCGACTCCAAGCCGACCAGTCCTTCTGTTAGCCCCTTTATGCGACTCCAAGGCGACCAGTCCTTCTGTTAGCCCCTTTATGCGACTCCAAGCCGACCAGCCCCTGTTAGCCCCTTTATGCGACTCCAAGCCGACCAGCCCCTGTTAGCCCTTTTATGCGACTCCAAGCCGACCAGTCCTTCTGTTAGCCCCTTTATGCGACTCCAAGCCAACCAGCCCCTGTTAGCCCCTTTATGCGACTCCAAGCCAACCAGTCCTTCTGTTAGCCCCTTTATGCCACTCCAAGCTGACCAGTCCTTCTGTTAGCCCCTTAATGCCGAGCGCAAGACAGGGTAACAACAAGTACCATCTTTTAACATCTTTGGTATGACGTGGTCGGGGATCAAACGACCAACCTACCACTATCCGCGCAGAAGCTCTGTCCGCTAACAATGGAGGCGGTCTACACTTTTTTTAATCCAATGAGCAAGGATAATGACCGATCAGTGATCACAATTGGGATGCATCTGGGATTTGATTTTGTTTGTTTGTTGTTTAACACTGAATTCAGCAATATTCCAGCTATATGACGGCAGTTTGTAAATAATTGAATCTGGACCAGAAAATCCAGTGATTGACATCATGAGCATCGATCTACGAAATTGGGATACGATGACATGCATCAACCAAGTCAGTGAGCCTGACCACTCGTTAGTCGCCTCTTACGACAAGTGTAGTCGCCTTTTACAGCAAGCATTGGATGCTGAAGACCTATTATACCCCGGATCTTCACGGGTCCTTAATTAAACTGACATTGCAGTATAGATCGTGTCTATTTTGTCATCCCTCAACTTGTAGGACCTCCTTTTAAAGAAAAATTATATGTTGTAAAGCATTGACTGAAAAAGATTCGGTCTCTAACAAAAATCCCAACTCCTTCAGCAAACTATCAGAAGCTTATTTCCAAACACAAACACACAAGACGATGAAGAAAGAGGAACTGATTTTAATCCCCTTAATAAGAAACTGTACATAAATGTCATGTTCAGAATATTTTTATATCCAACCAACAATACATATGAGAAACAGGTAGAAATACCGTATTTGACGTAATAAGCGCCCCGCTCTAATAAGCGCCCATGGCGATATTTGCTAATATATTGGCTAGTGAACAATCCCAATCAGCACCCCTTCCGATTGATCAATGTACACAAGACTTATTTATTCGTGAATAATACGCACTCCTCTGTTATATCACCCTTAAATATGGGCAAATAAATTCTGGAAATATATATCTGTTGTATGTAAACATTTCAGGCTGTCAACATAAACCATGAAATTTACAATCTTTCAACTCAAAACAATATTCTAATAAGCGCCCCCCTTTTTCTAATTTTGAGAGCGCCCTGGGCGCTTATTACGTTGAATACGGTAAGCTATGTAGCTTTCCTGTCTGTATAAACACCACGGCTTGTGTTCTATACAACACTGACCACTTGCACAGCTAGGTCTACCAACACAGAGATATAGGTCTTATTCACAACATTGCATTCACTTCAATCATCTGAAACAATCTGTGGCTAGAAAACATACAAATTATGATAAGTACTCATTTGCAGGTGCAAACTATATACATGTGTTTATGCATATGTAAAATATTGCATACAATGACCAGTAGAATAAATACATGTTTCTCTTAATATCTATGTATACTTATATAGTACATGCTTGTCTTATCAACAATAGCTATTGCACGAACATGACACAGTATCACAGAGTAATTTAAACGTGTTCAACGAATTGCTTGGCACAGCAAATATATACCGATTCTTCTACATTTGTTTTTATTCTATTAACAAGAATGACAACAGAGGTATAACAGAATTAGAAGTAAATTCTATCTGAATCAGAGTATAATGTGACCCAAATACAATCATACAGTAGCATATTTTTCTAAAAAATAAAGACTTTGTAAAACACAACCAGCTGATGAAGCATAAAACTCATGTGGGGAATGGTATGTATATATGTAGGCCATTATATATTCATAGATTTTCATCCAAAATTTTCAAATATTTGTGACGGTTTGCATTCTATTTTATAAATTGTCAGAAAGTGTTTGAAGTGCCTTGATTCCGATTCCATTTTTGACAACTTGATTCCTAGTTTTGTAAATCCTATATGTATATGACTAAATGGCCATTTCCATGAAGCATGCAATTCCGTTTGACGCCTATTTGACACTACTATTTGTCACTACTTTACATAAATGCATATTAATATATACAAGCAGCCTGTTCAAGCCGTCTGTGGACATTAACGGTCCACGAATGTGATCTACATGCTGATCAATGTTTGATGGGACTATGTATATGTATGGTATATTTCAACACGACAATACACATAGCATATGTCTGTCTATGAGAGACAGGAATATGTGAGGCAGAGTGGTTGGAAATCTAATAATTTATTATGGCCTCATCCCAGCAGGTTAATTAGTGAGTAGGGGTGATGACACTTTGGAGTGTATTCCAGTTATATCACGGCATGTCGGGTTCATGTGGGTGGACGAAAGCCCTAAGTGATGCAGGTCTGAGACATCTACCATTTGGTGAAACCCATAAACATGGGTATAGTGCTGACAAACCTAGAAACATAATCGGGGGATTCGAACCCACAATCACAGGTTTCTGGGGTGCCCAAGGGATGAAACTCTACAAAGAGAATTGTGGCACCTAAGACGCCTGGGCCACCCCATCTACACAAGGCAAGAGTGTCCACTAGCCTTTTCATCAAAGTCTTGTTTCCGCCCTTGACACGTCAAGCCCACTTTCCTGTGCTAAATATTATTGGACTATCGCGCATATCGAGAGTCCAATCAGAGAATGTTTCACAAAATCAACATCCACGACTAGTACACCTCGTATGAAAGTGATTTAATGCTGCCTGTCAATATTGACATGAATATGGTTTTTCATCTTCAAACCACCCCCCCCCCAACAATTGCCTACGTTTTTGTGTCAGTGATGAAATCACGAATGTTTTCGTTATCTGATCGACTAGGTCTGTGGTAGTCGCCATCTTTGTGAAGCTATATAAGAACAGCGATCTGATTGGATATCTCAATATCATTACAAGGGGCACAACGAGAGGTGGGTCCAGGGTCAAGCCAGGAAAAGTGGCCTTGATGTGGCAAGGGTAGAAACTAGGCTTTGATATAGACTAGTGTACACGCTTGCCTCGGAGGATGGGGCCACCCATTCCCTCAGTAGGATAATGGAAGGGTAGTGATGTAATGAAACAAGTTCAGGTGCTCCTGTTCTCATTATCACACATGATGAAACTTGACATGAATGAAGAATCACCTGAAATATATCATAAACATTTGTCTCAATTATTTATAACATTGCCACTGTTTGCATACTTGTGAACTATTTTAGATTGTCTGTGTTGTTGAAAACACATTTCCTGATTTACTGCAATCAATATTTATTCTCCAAATCAAAGGTTATTTATTTCAACACAGTGAGTGATATGACACTTTAGTAGTGACTTTACCCCATACATACATTGAGTCTGTCAGTGACACTATGGTTTTCGGAGAAAGATCAGTAAGAAAATTCTTAATATACAATAACTTATTAAAGTGCTGTTTACACGATATACGTTTTTATCATTGGACAAGAGGCAGGTCACATGACAGTGAAACTGACGTTATAGGTGTATGAACGACACATTTTGACGTTCTAAAGTTTTTCAGGAGACTGTATTCTTGAAATGACATAAACACTGATAGACTACTTCCACATTCCTGGGGGACCCCTGAGAATTATTTATGACAAATACATGTAGAAGCATCATTTGTGCTAATTGAGACACTTTAATCTTCAACTCAGTGTTTTCGCATACACTTGACACAAAAAAGTGTTTAACAGCATGTCTGTGATCACAACAGCAACAAACGAAGCTCCGATGTTCCGACCGTTTTAGTCTCACTCTATGAAGGTTCCTACTCCAGTGAACACAGAGGGAAAGTGACATCTTAATACGTTTGTCTTTTCTGGTCCAATAACATGTTTATCTCATCTCATGACCGACAAAACTGACATTTTCACTCTTTGCTGCGCCAGCTATTTGTGTTCAACTCGGAAGGAAGAAAACGTTTTGGTTAGTGGGATCCATAAACAAGCCAAAACCAAACACAAAGTGATTCTCCTGCGTTTTTTTGTTTGTTTGTTGATTAACCATATTCAGCAATATTCCAGCTGTCCGTAAATAATCAAGTCTGGACCAGACAACCCAGTGATTGATATCATGAGCATCGATCTGCGCAATTGGGATACGATGACATGCATCAACCAAGTCACAGAACCTTACCACCCGATCTTGTGAGTCGCCTCTTATGACAAGCATAGTCGCATTTTACAGCGAGCATGGGTTGCCGAAGACCTATTCTACCCCAGATCTTCACAGGGTTTAGGGTACAGAGGCTGATACAGAGGTATAAGGTACTTTATGTTTGGTACTCTATGTAAGAAAAGGATGATAGCCTTAATTATAGCATAGCCGCCTTCTCCTGCAGGTATAGCACTGCTAACAATCAACTGAGCCCACATTACTCCACGTATATACATATATATGAAACACCTAATGGATCAGTATGTATACATAAGTACCTTGTACATGTTGTGTGTATATGTATCACAGTGTATCACACATGTATCACACATGTATCATGAGAAGAGATTGTACCGTATGAAATACCTATGTACATCATTGACATCAACCTGTGCCTCAACACATGACTGTACACGACATGACTAGGTTTATAATACATAGGGGCGGTCGGGTAGCCTAGTGGTTAAAGCGTTCGCTCGTCACGCCGAAGACCCGGGTTCGATTCCCGACATGGGTACAATGTGTGAAGCCCATTTCTGGTGTCCCCCGCCGTGATATTGCTGGAATATTGCTAAAAGCGGCGTAAAACCATACTCAGTCAGTCAGTCAGTTATAATACATGGTTATGAATTCAACATGAAAACAACATTGTGCTGTCCTTTCATTTTCAGTATAAATCAAGCCATATACATTACAGATATGTAGCACAATTCTGTTCTATATACACATTTTAGCAGACCTCATGGCATGTTATTGTATATACTACTAAAAAGAAGTTAAAGAGCACCCCATTTTACCATGTGACTATACTAATCCATGGGTGTTCTTTAACTTCTTTTGAGTAGTATATAATATGTTGGGCTTTAGACCTCATGATCTAACAATTACAATCTATTAAATATGTACTACAGATCATGTCTACATGTTTTATTTCTTTGAATTAAAAAATATAAACAATGTCAACATGAAATAGTTTAAAGAAAACAAAATGAAAATCAAAGAAATTTCATATTAAAAAATTAACAATACAACCAATGCCAAGATGAAAAAGTTTTAAGAAAACAAAATGAAAATCAAAGAAACTTCATATTTAAAAAAATAACAATACATCATCAGAACCAACAGTTGTTTAAAATGATTGGTACATTCACATTCAGAAAATGCGTTTTCAAACTGAATACATTTCTAAAAATATTAAAAACTTGTAACTTTGTTTAATTAAAGCTTGAGGAACAAATAATCTTAATTGTTTAACTAGAAATAAGTCCACATTCTCACATTAAGAGGATGGTTGGGTAGCCTGGTGGTTAAAACATGCCCTCGTTACGCCAGAGACCTAGGTTCGAATCCCCACATGGGTACAATTTGTGAAGCTTATTTCTAGTGTCCCCCACCGTGATATTGCTGGAATATTGCTAAAATCAGCGTAAAACCATACTCACTCACTCACTCACTCACTCACTGACGGTTGGCGAGTGTGATGTGTGAAATGTTTATCTGATTAAGGGAGAAGCATCAATTACAAGAAATTACATGAAATCAAGCAAGTTTCTTTAAACCTGCGGAAACATTATTTCCTTACAGTGTACACGTCTGGAACACGTTAAAAAAATATACCAGGTCCCCTCCAGAATATCAAATGATTATTCCCCAAAAGGACATCATGTAATTTCTGTGACCCATCTTCACTGGAGATGTGAACAGACTTGAGCGGCCAGGGGGTGTAGCTGTAAGCTAAGATTATATCCTACCTAAATATTATCCTGGGGAAGTTTTACTCTAGAGTATAGCATAAGATAGGATTAAACACACTGGTATGGGTTCAAATTCACAAGGGAGAATCATCCTGACACTAGAGGATTTCATCCCCGGGATAAAAAATTGGGTAGGATAATATTCACTGTTACATAGCCACCATGATGCTGAACCACATTTCACCTCACCTCACCTCACCTCACCTCACCTTCAACACTATTTCCTATACACCCCCCTGTGGCTAATCAATGTGGGAGGCCAGCCACAGTGATCCAGGTCCTATTCCATCACCACTTCGGAGAAGCACGGGTGCAGTGGTGACAGACCCCAGATCATTATAGTCAGCTTCTTGGACTTAATTGCGCCAGAAGACTGAATGTCTAGACAACTAAGGGACACAACTCTGCAAATCATGTAACATCACCCCAGTCAATGAACCAACCATTCCAATAAAATATAAAGGATAAGTTAAGAGCTAAATTTGAGTATTTATGAAATCCTCAGAATAGTGCCTTCTGTACCGAGAAGCAACTAATTATTTGTGATCTGTAAGATATTGAAGAATATTGGCAGATTTGTACTTTATGGTACCGTATATTGCGACCCCACCGATAATGCAAACGTTAGATCATTGTGTGCACACTGAGAGGCCGATGTATTTGGTATCCATGACTGTTTGAGTTGTCATGGGTCCCACCATAGCTCCGATCATCGGCCCCATCACTGTACATGCTGTGCAAAAACTGCTTTGAAAATATGTGAAGCAATTTCATGTTGCAATTGTAGCGGCCATAAAATTTCTGAGTCCCGTGATGGGATTCGAACCACGGACCTTCTGATCAGAGGTCGGACGCCTTGTCCTCATGACCAAGGAGGTTAACCCTGTCAGCAAGCTGACAAGGTAAGGATGTCATCTGTGGGATGACTCCAACCCTGCTACACAATTAACAAATATCCACATAACATAGAGGCCTATAGACAATACATGTTCATTAAAAGTGTTTATCAAATACTAACAAAAAATAAAATAATTTACTTGTAGATGAACCAACAACAAAATGTGGTTCCACTGCTTGATTCATGCTCCCATACACACACCGAATACATAATCCAGGTCATCAAATGCATCTTTTTAAAATACTACAGGAGATACAAAGGGAGACAACTTGTACCAAACGAAGCTTAATCACCACTCATTAATCCATTTCATTCATGTATCAAAACTTTGTACAGCAAAAATATCCATTTTATGGCATTTTCCATTCATCCACATTGATATGCATATTTCTTCAGTTTCTCAGAATCGCGTCACCTCCACTTCTATAACAGCTGGTTCCCCATCCTCCTCCTGCCAAGATCGTTTCGGAGATTCCTCTGGAAATGTTGGGTTTTCATCGTCATCTACAGATGGCTGAGGTGAGGGAGATGTCACCAAGTCCATGTTCTCCTGTAGTGACACTGATCGTAACGTCGGGATTGTAACTTCCACATTCTCGGGCCAAGACAAATGCTGTCGCCGGAACGCTGAACGTTTTGCTCCGAACTGCCATGCCTTTCGCTTGGGTGAGATACAGTTAATATTTTCTTCACTTGGGCACTGAAAATAAGGCAAAGATTTTGAAAAATGCATGTCAACATTTGTTTAGAAATCTGAAACTTTATTAAACCCCAAATATCCATTAATCGTTAAACTTCACATCCAAGAGCCAATAGTAAGGCTGAAAAAAAAAAAATAGTCTTGGTTCTCAGGCGCTGCCCACATCATCATAAAGTCCTCCTCATGTTGTTTTTTTTTACTTCCATCTTAATTTTTTCTTAAAAATCAAAATACTTTAAAACATTGCAATCCAATATAGCACACAGTTACTTCCCTTTACATGTGCACTGCTTTACTGCGCATCTCGTGTTATGGTCATGGCGGCAATGGGAGTTTATATGCTTGTTTATGTCGGGAGGCCGTTTCCCAGGTTGATGGTACACAAATGTTTATTTGGTTACATACTAGTTTGAACAAGCCTCCCACCCAAAAAAAAACCCCATCGCCCGCCCGCCTCTACTATATTTTCAAAAGTCATTGCCTGAGAACCAATTCTTGTATTTTTATAAGCCTAAACTCAGGGCAGATATTTCATGTTCATCGGTTTACAGCCTTTTATGTGAAAAATCCTGGGTCTCGTTCCAAAAAGTGATCTTAGCGCTACAACTATTGTAAGCCTATGGGAAAATATGGGAGTTATGATCATCTTAGCGCTAAGATCCCTTCATTCGATGGGCCCTGATCTGAAGGTAAAATAAGAAGATGGAAAATTACTAAGTATGTAAAGTGTGCTATGCTGCTAAGCATGTCTCTTCTATTGGATCCTATTGTATGCAAAAGAATTTATGGTCAAACACATACGTTTGCCTTCCGTGATACCAAAAAACAGAGTTTTTAATGTATGATCTTTTTTCACCTATTCATTTATTATTAAGGTTTAGCCAAATCTGTAAACAATGTCAAAAACAAAGTCTCGCCTCTCCTTATTCATAAAACATAAACAAGAGAAGTTCATATACAAAACCAAGACAACAAAACAAAGTCCTGTCAACCAGTATTTTAGTAAAAAGGAAATCATGATAATTCCCCCTACTTCCACTAATAACTGATCAGTCCCTAAATATGTTCAAATGTATTACTTTTCTATTTGAAAAATCACAACTGTGTCATTTTTTTCATGCCTCTCCCTTCAAATGGCTGTGACAAATTTGGGCGAGTCCCCCTCTTTCACTGTGTCATTTTTTACTTTTCATCAGCCCCCATCTTGATCTCACCAGCCTCCCTTCCCCAAAAATAAATTACCAGTCCCTTGGAAAAATTTCAAACACCTGCTTAACCTCACCTTATGGGATTCAAAACAATTCTAAAATTATTTGCTAATTCTTTTAATAGATTGCCTCCGTGGAACAGTGGATAGAGCATCTGCCCAGAGAGGAGGGTGGGAGTTCAATCCCCAGCCACGTCATACCAAAAGATGTTAAAAGATGTTACTTGTTGTTACCCTGCCTGGTACTCAGTCTGACCTTCTAATTCTTCACCTGACTCCTCACCAGAAAGGTCTACCAACTTACTGTGTTTTTCAGGGGTTTCTGCAGGCAACTGAGGTCAGTCTGCACAGCAGCATCCCTCATTTCCACCTTAATCTTAGGTCTCGGCATAATGATAATATCATTGAGAGCACTCTCACTTGAAGAGCATGGACGGGATATGAGTTTCTCTATGGAACCTGTTTAAAACAAAAAAAATATGTTTCTCATTAAAGTTAAATTACAACGTAAAATACACTATCATATAGAAATTCACATGAATAAAAATATTAATGTCACTTTGACTACAGACCTGACTGAGCCTTAACCATGTTTCGTGGCCCTGAATCGCACCTAGTCAATGCTAAAACTTGAAATTACAATAGAAATCAGAAAATATTTGTAATTTGAAATTAAATATGATAAATACACAAATCAGAGTATAATTTGGCAATATGTCCACTACATTTTCACAGACCTGCTAAAACTACTAAGACTGGGTGCAACACAAAAACTGCTATGTTACAGATGTTTACTGCATAAATTATCTAAGTTCTATACATAAAATCAACAGAAACAAAAATGCATGCAGTACATTTATTCAATCAAGGCCAGATCAGTTTGCAAATGAACAAACAGTTAGCACAGCAACCATTTGGCCTAAATATTCTACTGCCCTCATTTACTGTGGCAAGGTCATCGTCTTTCCCAAATTCAGTATGTTAAAAACGGTAGTAAAAACGTGGCATAAGATGTAAAACAGTGACTGAATGGAAACTGTTGACTAAACAGTTTTGGATTTTTTTATAAATTGTAAATAAAATTTGTTTGCATTTTTGTTTGTTAGATGTTTAACGTCACACTCAGCAATATTCCATCTTTATGACAGCAGTCTGTAAGTAATCGAGTCTGGACCAGACAATCCAGTGATTGACATCATGAGCATCGATCCATGAACTGGGGATACAATGACATGCATCAACCAAGTCAGCGAGCCTGACCACCCGATCCTGTGAGTCTCCTCTTACAACAAGCCTAGTCTCTTTTTACGGCACCCATGCGTTGCTAAAGACCTATTTTACCCCAGATCTTATCAAGACATGATTTCTTGCTGTAAACTTGCTCAAAACACTCACAAAAATATGGGATAGATTTGTGAGTGCTTACGTTAACAAATATGGCTGCACATGAGTGGCGCGTTCGCTCAGGCATTACTCTAGGATTATTCTTCATTAGACTGGGGCACGGGTGGCCTTGTCTTCTAGGGCGCCGCAATTTGCTCTGCCTTGGGCACGACAGAAACCTATGATTGTGGGTTCGAATCCCAGCTATGATTTCAGGTTTGGCAGCACCATACCCGTACTCGTAGGTTTCACCGAAGTGGTAAACATCTCAGTTCACTGCAGCCTTTCCTCCCACATTTAGCTGACACACCATGATATAACTGGAATACTGTTCAAAGCAGCTTTAATCCAAACTCACACAGCCACTCTTCAGTGGACAAACCAATAGTTGATAATGCAAGCAAGGCTTCATGGCCTTAAGAGTTATGATACATTAACTCAGGTAAACTATCAAGGCACGTCCCTTTTGTTTCCTATGAGTTTTTGTACCATGACTGGATTCCTAGTTTTGCAATACAAGAATTGCTACAAGTTGTTTACATGTTGCTTATTCAGCATGTGCTGCACTGACTGTTTTTACCTGAGATTAAATAAATACAACTTTACCTATGTATGTATACTACTCAAAAGAAGCTAAACAACACTGACTCTTTTGTATTACTATAATTGATCTGTCATGCCATGGCAGATTAACAATAGTAATAAGATTTGTTTGTTTGTTGTTTAACGCCGCACTCAGCAATATTCCAGATATATGACATCAGTCTGTAAATAATCGAGTCTGGACCAGACAATCCAGTAATTGACATCATGAGCATTGATCCATGCAATTGGGATACGATGACATGCATCAACCAAGTCAGTGAGCTTGGCCACCCAATCCCGTTAGTCGCCTCTAACGACAAGCAAAGTTGCCATTTACTGCAAGCATGGGTTGCTGAAGACCTATTCTACCCTGGGTCTTCACGGGTCAATATGAGCGATTGTAGCGTTACGACTATCATAAATCTATGTTAAAGTATAGAAGTTACGATAGTTGTAACGCAGCAATCACTTTGTAAATTGTGATGTGGCAAATATGTGACGTCACATCAAATACAATGGGATCATGATGTTATAATAAACCCGCCATCCAATATGATTGTGGATTTTACAAGATGGGGACTGGCCAATCAAATTGCTAGATTGTTCAGGGTCTACAAACTGGTGTGGCCTGTTGGAAGAGCATGTTAAAGGTAGACAACAAACCTGAAGAGAGATTGCACTGAGGATTGCTGTAAGCGTGATTGAGAATGGCTTTCTGACGCATGTCCATGGGTTTTTTGGTGTGAGGTAGGTTGGGGGATACAGGCAGAAGGCTAGCCTCGGACAAACTCGGGACACGGACGCCAACTGTGGTGAACTCTATGTGATCTAGGGAACCCGGAGACGGGAGTGAGGATCATTTGCATATTCATGAGATGATAATGAAACTGATTAGCATATTAAACTGTATCACTTTAGACTGGATTAATAGACATTAAAAATACATAAATATCAAATCTAGTACACAATTGAATATATTGTCATGAAATAAAAATTGAAAAATAATTTGTATAGCATGTATAGCTGATAGAATGGAAATGAATACAACTGTATTTTATGTCTTTAATGAAATGTTCAAGTTGAAAAAATTATTATTTTTGTGCTATATGAGAAGAATTAAAAGCTGAACAAACGTAAATGTTTCAAAGTTTAGGTCACAAGTAACATTTCAAACATTTCCAGATGATAACAATTTCCGAAATGACTTGATGATGAATGAGGTATGTGAGAGGTACTAAAAAACATCTAAGTGAAAATGGCTGTCTGAATGATCTACCACAAGGAATGGTTCTATAGGAAGCTAACACACGGCCATACACTGAGTCACAAATGAAACAAATGTGGACTTGACGAGAAGGAAATTATTTTAAAAGAAATCCTATTTTCATAGTAACACTTCTCCTGTTGTTATTTTTTCACATACGATATAATCAACATACAAAATATTATTTCCATTATAGCAATTAAAGACTATGATATATTCCAGGGCAATATTCAAATGATTCTTTAATACACATAAATATGTCAATGATAAATTCAGAAAACAAAAATAAGATAAAATTATTTTCATAATAAAATTGAATTTGTACTGAAATATTTTTTTATTGTCATGAGTACCATCATTCGATTGGTGTAAAATGGTTTAATGTCAGTTACAAAAACTAGTAGTCATTAGGGAAACACAACTAGTCTTGAAACACATCTACTAGTATAATGTCAGCTTGTGAACACATACCTGTGATGGTGTTCAACGGAGGGTTGTCTAAATCTACAGTATACATAGTTGTGTGGACAGCAGGATAATACTCCACATATTTCCAGTGTTTCTCAAGGGCGGGACCCCAGTCACTCTCGGGCTGGCAGGCTTGTCTCACTCTCTGACAAAACAAAATAAATCAATTATTTCATTTCAGAAGAGAGACCATATAAAAAGATCTGAATATCATTTCTGAGATGGTTTCGGACAGTGACCCTCTCCATTCAATCGATTCCTTCACATTCACTTTGAAACATGTGGAACAAGAGTCTCAGGGTCATTGGTAACTGTCAAGCATTTCCGTTTTATATTAATCTTATTACAGTTGAAAATAGTTGGTACAGGAACCCATTCTATGAAAACATGGACAATACCTCAATTATGGAAATCATACCTTAATCGTATATGCTGTACATGGTGCCTTGTCTGGGGTGCTATCTTGTATATCATCACCAGCGGGATGGGACTCACCTCCATAAACCTGCCTTGTCCGGAGGCTATCTTGTATATCATCACCAGCGGGATGGGACTCACCTCCATAAACCTGCCTTGTCCGGAGGCTATCTTGTATATCATCACCAGCGGGATGGGACTCACCTCCATAAACCTGCCTTGTCCGGAGGCTATCTTGTATATCATCACCAGCGGGATGGGACTCACCTCCATAAACCTGCCTTGTCCGGAGGCTATCTTGTATATCATCACCAGCGGGATGGGACTCACCTCCATAAACCTGCCTTGTCCGGAGGCTATCTTGTATATCATCACCAGCGGGATGGGACTCACCTCCATAAACCTGCCTTGTCCGGAAGCTATCTTGTATATCATCACCAGCGGGATGGGACTCACCTCCATAAACCTGCCTTGTCCGAAAAAAACTATCTTGTATATCATCACCAGCGGGATGGGACTCACCTCCATAAACCTGCCTTGTCCGGAAGCTATCTTGTATATCATCACCAGCGGGATGGGACTCACCTCCATAAACCTGCCTTGTCCGGAAGCTATCTTGTATATCATCACCAGCGGGATGGGACTCACCGCCATAAACCTGCCTTGTCCGGAGGCTATCTTGTATATCATCACCAGCGGGATGGGACTCACCTCCATAAACCTGCCTTGTCCGGAGGCTATCTTGTATATCATCACCAGCGGGATGGGACTCACCTCCATAAACCTGCCTTGTCCGGAGGCTATCTTGTATATCATCACCAGCGGGATGGGACTCACCTCCATAAACCTGCCTTGTCCGGAAGCTATCTTGTATATCATCACCAGTGGGATGGGACTCACCTCCATAAACCTGCCTTGTCCGGAAGCTATCTTGTATATCATCACCAGCGGGATGGGACTCACCTCCATAAACCTGCCTTGTCCGGAGGCTATCTTGTATATCATCACCAGCGGGATGGGACACAGACAGACACAGATCAGGAGGAAGCCCACCGCCTCTGCCCAGTCTGGGTACTTCTCTTCACTGAACTTGTCCTTTAGAGGTGTGTAGCCCACCGAGGAGAAGATCAGCACAAACTGTAAACACAACAGGATAAAAAGATTATTAAACATCCTATATTCAATATAATTCCATGATATTTACAGATCTTTTAGTGTCTTAAACATTTAAACAGATCAACTCACAAAACAAGAATATAACATTTCAGAAAATATTGATTATCCATGTTCCAACAGAACAGGTCCGGAACAGGCAAATCAGTGGTATGATAAGAGTCTGTGTCACGTTACAATACTGCTGATATATGCTTCACGGAAAAGATGTGTTTTGAGTGGTGATTTAAAAGAATCCTATGTTTTATATATAAACATAATGTAGTCAGTCATAATCCACCAAAAAGGGACTTAAAATTGTATTTACCTACTCAAACCTGAGAATTATTGGGAGATCAGTGAACAATTTCCCTTCACACTTGTAAGATGAGGTGAAGTAGAATGGCTTTAACACTGCAATCAAAATTGTTGCTCTTATATAGTGATGTGCATGTATGTGTGTGTGACTCTGCTTGTACTAGTCCGGACTACTTCTGATTTATACTGCAAGCCCACTGAGATACCATGCCACAGTTTAACATGAATACCCCACTCAGACACAGTATACTGACTCCGAGCGGACCAGCCCTTGTTTCATCTCCTTCTGGGGCGGTCGGGTAGCCTAGTGGTTAAAGCATTTGCTTGTCACACTGAAGACCCGAGTTCCATTCCCATCAAGGGTACAACACGTGAAGCCAATTTCGGATGTGCCCTGCCGTGATATTGCTGGAATATTGCTAAAAGCGGCGTAAAACCATACTCACTCACTCACTCATCTCCTTCCTGCCAAGCTCCAGGCATAGAAACAACAAGATGCATCTTTTAATGTTTGGTATGACATGGCTGGGGGATTTACACTGGCATATCACACTTGGCTATCATATGTGTATACCACACTAGAAAACCCACTTGGTCATCACACTTGGCTATCATATGTGTATACCAAACTAGAAAACCCACTTGGTCATCACACTTGGCTATCATATGTGTATACCACACTAGAAAACCCACTTGGTCATCACACTTGGCTATCATATGTGTATACCACACTAGAAAACCCACTTGGTCATCACACTTGGCTATCATATGTGTATACCACACTAGAAAACCCACTTGGTCATCACACTTGGCTATCATATGTGTATACCACACTAGAAAACCCACTTGGTCATCACACTTGGCTATCATATGTGTATACCACACTAGAAAACCCACTTGGTCATCACACTTGGCTATCATATGTGTGTACCACACTAGAAAACCCACTTGGTCATCACACTTGGCTATCATATGTGTATACCACACTAGAAAACCCACTTGGTCATCACACTTGGCTATCATATCATATGTGTATACCACACTAGAAAACCCACTTGGTCATCACACTTTGCTATCAAGTCTATACATTAGTAATGGTTGCTGTAAGAACCAAGTACAACCGGTAATTGATTCCGTGTGTGTAACCTGGCTGACAAAGTCATCAACCCCCCACACTAGAATGCTCATGCTATCAACCACTGATTTGCCATGCCTGGACCAGAATATTTACAGGCAGCTCGAAAAAAGCTGAAATATCGTCGACAGCGGCTAAAAAACAACTCACAACAATGATGACTGGGCAGACTCCATACCACATGCCCTGCCACCACCAGCCGACCTTTGACCCGATCATGTGACTGACGTCATTACAGAACTGCTTGACACCGTACACCCAGCCGATGGCGATGCACATGACGAGCCCGATGACGAGGTGTGGGAAGCCGGCCAGGTACTCGTCCATCAGCTGCAGAATGTGAACACCACCCTGCAACACACCGCATCTTGATTCCGATTGGGTAGATCCAGAACAATATCGCGTTATACTGTATATCTTGAAATCAACATGAGCATGAATTAAATGCGAAAAGTGTAAGTGATCTTTGTTCGCATAAATGAAACTTCACATTTATCCAAAATTACTATCAACAATAAGACGGCCTTATTGCACGCTTTGGATAGCGGAAATACCAACTTGAATATATACACAAACACTGTTTTTTGAGTAGCAGTTGTAACAAGTCCATAACAATGTCATTTCAAGAATAGGAGTTACGCAATGGGCGTCCAGCGAGTTCGGTGGGGTCAAGAGTTCTACCCACTCGTGTCAAACTAGGCATCACTGACCACTCCAATCAGTGAACTGTTGTTGGTTCAATTGCCTTTGAACTTCCTTAATTCCAGTCAATAGAATAAACATATACACTGTGTGTTTGTTTTTAGGAAAACACTGTTTATCATTATTACGGAAGTGCTTTCCTCAGTGCTAATTAGAAGTCATATTTGCTGTTTGATTGGATTGGATTGGATATATGTATCATGGGGTAGGGGTGTGGCAGTCGCATTGATTTTAAGTCACATTTTTAGCTAGGGGTCAGCAGTCGTATTATTTTGGAGACCCATTAATTTCAAGATTTACAGTATTCCACATGTTATACAACACTTCTTCACGCATCAACCACATCAGCAAACCTGATCACCAGATACTGTCAATCACCACTTAAGACAAGCATAGGTTGCTCAGGACCCGGAATCTACATAGGGGAGCAGTATTAAAACTTTATCAAACTTAGTTAAGACATTTTGGCCAAAGGTAAAGTGTTGGTCTTGAAATTAACTTTTATTCATCACACCATTGTAGGTGACCAACTTCCTTCAGTCCTTCGGGGCGGTCGGGTAGCCCAGTGGTTAAAGCGTTTGCTCGTCACGCCGAAGACCCGGGTTCGAATCCCGATATCGGTACAATGTGGGAAGCCCATTTCTGGTGTCCCCCGCCGTGACATTGCTGGAATATTGCTAAAAGCAGCGTAAAACCATACTCACTCACTCCTTCAGATTCAGAGAGAAATTGTAAAGAGTAATACCTCCATCTCGGATGGCCACATATCCTGTAAGATGAGTAAGGGAGGAATGTTTCATATTCTCAGAAAGTCTGAATTATTTTCTTTGCTCTCGAGGGGCGGTGGGGTAGCCTAGCAGTTAAAGTGCTCGCTTCGCACATCACACCGAAGGCTCCGGTTCTATTCCCACATAAGTACAATGTGTATAGGACATTTCTGGAGTCCCCCGCCATGATACTGCTGGAATATTGCTAAGAGTGGCGTAAAACCATAATCTATCTCTGTTCGCAAACCATTCAATGCCAACATAACAGAAAAAGTGTAAATATAACAAAATACTCACTCACTCGCTCTCAAACACTGCTGACATCAGTTAAACACTCTTCAATGACAGTACATGTATTTGCCTAAAGGGGTGGTCAGGTAGCCTAGTGGGTAAAGCGTGTACCCTGCCGTGATATTGCTGGAATATTGCTAAAAACGGCCTAAAAGTGTATTTTGTAACTGTCCAATGCATTATATGTAGGTGTCACAGCTGTAGCATTGAGTGAATGACTATTGTTTTATGCCAGTGTTACAAATATTCCAGTAATATCAAGGTAGGGTACATGAGAAAAGGGCTTCACACATTGTACTCATGTGGGAATCAATCCTGGGCTTTCAGTGTGATAGGCGAACGCATTACCCCCAAGGCTACCCTAACCCTTGAGGCAATCCAAACGGGGGCTATTTCCCTGCTACTACTCATACAATGATGTTACTACCTGTGTTGTTAATGGAAGCCCAAGTAGATAGGATGATGCACACAGTATGGACAAGACAAACACTCTCTTCTTCTTTAGCTGCTCTAGTCGCTCGTCTATGATGGCAGTGACAATTGTCTCCACCGATGTGAACAAGGTACTAATACCCATCAATACCAACATCAGGAAAAACAAGATGGACCACAGAGGCGATGCTGGGAAATACAAGATGGCTGCTGGATATACGATGAATGTCAAACCTACGTCTGAAACAGAAAAATTTAATACCATGTACTTTTACCATATTAGGCTTAAACAAATAACAGAACCGGTTCTCAGGCAATGGCTTTTGAGGGTCGTGTGTGCGAGATGTGGAATATTTAAAGATTTTTTATTTTTTTTAAATGGAAATAAAAATGAAACGTACAGCAGACTTTATGATGATGCGGGCGGTGCCTGAGAACCAAGACTATTATTTTTTTTAGCTTTAAAGGTGAACCCAGGCATTTGTTTCTTAAAAATATTACTTTCATCTATGCATAATGCATAAACATTTGATAAATATATAATATTATTTCCAGCCAATCCTCATTAAAATGTCATTCATTACAAAAGTTATAACTTGATGCAAGGCAGAAAACACATCAAGGGAGACAACTCTGTAGACATTATTATAACAAATGTGAAAACTTAATGCAACTTCCTTTCATAGAGTTAATAAGTATACAAATTATCACATAATTTTCAATTACATGAAAAGATCTTTTAAAAACTTTACCTGATTCAATAACATTAATAATTTAACTGTTTACCTGATTTAATAACATTTTCTACAGATGTGTTTAGTTCTTTTCCCAGCACGCCTATGACAGAAAACACAGCAAACCCTGCCATGACACTCATCAGGGTGTCCCCCAACACTACCAGAATCGTGTCCCTGGACAGAAACAAAGGATCAGGAATTTATAAAAGATTCCAAACAAAAAGCCTTGGTAAGCAAATTCGTGAAAAAATTATTAATTTGTTCAAAATTGGGATTTTTTTAAAGTTCCAATTTTCTTAAATTTAACTTTGTATATCAACATTACATTCAATAATGTGAAATGAAGCATTAAAACCTCTACCTCTTTATTGGTCCTGCTATCAGTGAAATACAGGTCGTCCCGACCAAGCCATGAGATATATAACATCAATTAGGTATATCTCAATTTACTTGTTCCTTTGTTTATTTGTTGTTTAACGCTGCACTCAGCAATATTCCAGCTATATGACTGCAGTCTATAAATAATCGAGTATGAACAAGACAATCCAGTGATTTACATCATGAGCATCGATCCATGCAATTGGGATACTAGGACATTCATCAACCAAGTCAGCGAGCCTGACCACCCGATCCCGTAAGGCGCCTCTTACGACAAGCCTAGTTGCCTTTTACCGCAAGCATGGGTTGCTGAAGACCTGTTCTACCCCGGATCTTCACGGGTCAATTTACTTGTATATGTGGCAATTTCTGATAGTGATTAACCATAACTGTCAATATCAGTGGGAAGATATGGATCAACCTTTTCTGCCATTATATTGTGGGGAAAAAATATGAATCTTTAGAAACATACAGTACAAAAGAAACAGATTGAAAGTAAAAACTGACAAATGTGACATATCTGACAGAAATTATCTCTGTTCATTTATAAACTACATCAGCCTCACGAAGTCCTCCGACATGTGTATGTTATTATGAAACTTGTTATAGCTCCTCCCACTTGTATATGTTATTATGAAACTTGTTTTTGATCCTCCCACCTGTATATGTTATTATGAAACTTGTTTTAGCTCCTCCCACTTGTATATGTTATTAGGAAACTTGTTTTTGCTCCTCCCACCTGTATATGTTATTATGAAACTTATCATAGCTCCTCCCACTTGTATATGTTATTAGGAAACTTGTTTTTGCTCCTCCCACCTGTATATGTTATTATGAAACTTGTCATAGCTCCTCCCACCTGTATATGTTATTATGAAACTTGTTATAGCTGGACAAGGTGGACAAGCCTCCCCAACAGGTGGACAGCGTGAAGAACACCTGCGTGGCAGCATCGGCCCACACCACCGGCTTGCCAAGCAACTCCCACCGTGGCGTCACGTAGTACTTGATGCCGTCCAGGTTGCCGTCCATTGTGATCCCGCGGATCAGCAACACCATGATGAAGATGTATGGTAGTGTCACGATGATGTATGATATCTGAAACAACCAAACATTGAAAGTTAGAGTCACGATGATGTATGATATCTGAAACAACCAAACATTGAATGGTAGTGTCACGATGATGTATGATATCTGAAACAACCAAACATTGAATGGTAGTGTCACTATGATGTATGATATCTGAAACAACCAAACATTGAATGGTAGTGTCACGATGATGTATGATATCTGAAACAACCAAACATGGAATGGTAGTGTCACGATGATGTATGATATCTGGAACAACCAAACATTGAATGGTAGCGTCACGATGATGTATATCTGAAACAACCAAACATTGAATGGTAGCGTCACGATGATGTATGATATCTGAAACAACCAAACATTGAATGGTAGCATCACGATGAAACATCGGAAACATCCAGTGGTTTTGCAACAGAACAATATATTGATGTCCATGAAACATGAATTCATCATGACAGTGTCAACACATGTCCTCTGTAAACGTCATCTCTAGCTGAAAGTGGCGTGGGGAAAATTGTCAGTTCCCAAGTCAGTATAGCGTCCACCATTAGCAGTGTCACCAGCTTGACAACGGCATATCACTGACAACACAGAATGGTTGCTGAGTGAGTGTGGGATGTCATTCCAGATCTGGACAAAGGCCTTTCGCAGCTGGACCAACGCCACCAGTTCTTTTGAAAGTTGGCATAAACATGTTCGATAGGCAACAGAGCTGGGGAAACAGCAGTCCAATGGAATGTGGGGATGTTCTGTTGGCCAAAGAAGTCTGTGCAGTGTGAGGGCATGCATTAACCTGCTGTAAAGTGATGTGAGGTCCACGGGTCTGAAGCAGGACGTGAGGACAGACAACTTCGTCACAGTAGTGTACACCTGTCAAATAGCTATCGCTGTGTGATGCACAGTGGGGCTGCAGTGAGGCCTCCCCATTATGTTCCTGCAACCGAATGCGTCAGGGTAACGTTCCATCTGACGTCAATGAACAATCTGACGGCCATCACTGCTGTCAAGATGAAACTCATCCCGTAAGTCCCGTAATGTCAACCTCAGATGTTGTCTGGACCATGTGTACTGTGAACGTGTGACAACTTTTGTACTCATGGGATTTTATGCACGTAATGACGGGGATGCACATGAACTTTCAAGGTCATCATGGGTAATCGTGTTAAAGTGTTTGAACATGTGATTATCATGCATGATTTTGAAACATCTATAGCAATTTGACTTTTATGCAATGTTTTTATGGTGCACATTAATTTTTTCCCACTAGTTTAGTAAAATATCTTAATGGATTGAACGAATAAGATATTAAAAACATCAACTGTTTCAAATGTTTGAAATATGTCAATAATTAAGCCAATTAATTTATTTTCTTCATCAAATATGCTTATTTTCAAAAAAGGTTCTGAGGGTAATAATATACCAATACCAATACAACATTCAGCATCTAGGTCTACATCAGGGTCAAAGAACAGGAGAGAAGTTCCTCCACTGCTGCAGACTGACCTTGCCCGAGGACTTGATGCCCTTGAGCAGACACATGAAGATGATGCCCCAGCAGAGGAGCAGACAGAGCGCCAGCTGCCACCGCACCTCCCCCAGGTTGTCCAGCCCCGGCGTCGACGCCAACACGGAACGACTGCAAGCAGACCAGAGTCACAGTGACTGAGTTGGTATTTACTCTGATGTTAACAACTGACTTCAATATGTTTTGTTTGCTTATGTAGGTTTGTTTGTTTGTTTGTTGTTTAACGCCACACTCAGCAATATGCCAGCTATATGACGGCGGTCTGAAAAGAATCAAGTCTGGACCAGACAATCTAGTGATTGACATCATGAGCATCGATCCATGCAAATGGGATATGATAACATGCATCAACCAATCCACCCGATCCCGTCAGTCGCCTCAGACCAGCATCGTCGCCTTTTACGGCAAGCATGGGTTGCTGAAGATCTATTCTTCACAGATCTGTTCATGGAGGTATAAACATAACACCTGTGTGCATGCTGTGTAAATCTGCGTAGCTGACACAACATGTGCACACCAGTTTTTATGTTTATGACCATATACCGTATTCAATGTAATAAGTGCCCAGGGCGCTCTCAAAGTTAGAAATAGGGGGCTCTTATTAGAATATTATTTTGGTGGGAAAAAAACAGAGTTGAAAGATAAATTTTGTGGTTTATGCTGACAGCCTGAAATGTTTATATACGAGAGAAACATTTTTCCAGAATTTAATTGCCCATAATTAAGGGTGCATATAACACAGGAATGCGTATTAAACGAATAAATAAGTGTTGTGTACATTGATCTATCGGAAGGGGTGCAAATAAATATTGTTCACTAACCAATATATTAGTAAATATTGCCATGGGCGCTTATTATGTCGAATACGGTAAATGCAATAACATATTGAAGTGAATTCTAATATATAGATACGTCAACACAATAGTAACTAATAGCTTATTTAATCATGAACACAAACAACTGTCAACAACTATATAAAATCAGTGACATCATAACCGCAAAAATGCAAGACAAGCACTGCCCATTCTATTATCAACCAATCAAAAACAGTAGTCTGTCAGTGGGTGTCGCCTAATTATTTTTAGGTTTATGGAAACATAAAAACAAAAAGAACTGCTTGGTTAGGCAATCAAATGCCACAGAATGACTTGTAATTTATTTATTTAGTGATATCTAATAGCAGCCTTGATAGCGGTCTCCACACATAATCCAGTTGAGTGTAATCCCATGAAAGAAGTCCCCATGTTCAACAGTCATTTTGACCATCCAATCCCCAGTTTAAATACCTTTTACAATAATAGTGTTTTAGATTGCTGACAGCCTGGGTCATTGGCCCAACTTCAATTTCAGAGAAAGCATGACCTTTTCTGCCTAGAATCATCAAAAGATGGATGGAACAGATTTTGTTACTTGGAAAGTTCTGTTTGAAAATACTGGTACTCAGGTTTAGGGAACAGAGGCTGACACAGAGATATAGGGTACTTTATGTTTGGTACTCTATGTTAGAAAAGGATGACAGGAAATGTGCATTTGAATACGATTGCAACAGTTGCACCAATCTCCGATCCTGCTACCGCTAAACAAAATTAATATTTTAGCAAATTAAGTTCTCGATTAAAAATTTGAAGACTGAACAAAAGAACATTCTTGAATGTCAAATAGATGGCCAAGATTGTATGGCAGTACTTCCTATAGGCAATGCAAAGTTTCATAAATTCAAATGTTTATTTTGATAAAACAAATGTTATATTTGGGATAACACTTTCTTAGTAAAGTACACATTCTTGTACTTTTTTGGGTTGTGTCCCGTCTCCAGTCTAACCAAATCGGCCTACCAGTTTTCGGACTTTTATTTTTGTGGAAGCCAAGGTGGCTGAGTGGGTTAGAACGCTAACTTTGTGTGCTGGCAGTTAGGTGCCTCACTCTGGCAGTGTGGGTTCGAATCCCAGATGGGACTCAACCCAAAAAAGTACGAGAATCTGTACTTTACTAAGAAAGTGTTATCCCAAATATAACATCGGTTACATTTGTCCACTTTCTAAATGGCATTGTGTGTTCACATGTCCTTGACAGTCAGCTTAATATACTGTTCACTTTTCAGCAATTGTTCACATTCAAGAGTAATGTGTGAATGAAATGAAAACACAAACTCACTAAAAATATTCTTCACTAGGACTTGTCCTGTTGATGTACTGTTCCTCGGTGATCACATCCTCACCAAATATCTTACGTAACGTCCTAACACATTGTCCTATCCGACTCTCGTTGAACTTGTTACAGTTCCGTAACACAGTGTAACATGAATCATTTTGAAAGGCTGGCAACTCCACGTAGGACATATTCACCGACGTACAGTTCGTCACGTCAAACTTGTTTTCATGACAATCTGCAGAGAGAGACAAAACACATCATTGACGGTGACTGATTATTTCATGAAAGCAGTTCTTTGAGACTCACAAGGTTTGGATTAGCTTTTAAAACTGTCAAGGGGACATGGGTGGCCCAGTCGTTAAAGGTGCCACAATGTATTTTGCAGAGTTGCATCCCTTGGGCATGCCAGGATGGTCGAATCCCGGTTTACCCTGATTATGTTTCTAGGTTTGTCAGCACGATAACCGTGCTCATGGGTTTCACCAAAAGTGGTAAATGTCTGAGATATGCATCACAGTTCTCTTTCCTCCCACATTAAGCTGACGAGCCATTATACAGCGGCATTAATCCCAACTCACTCACTAATAACTGTCAAAGTCCTGCCCCCCCCACCCCCCCCCCCCCCCCCCCCACCCTCAGAAACCAGCCCAAGACCACTTTCAGTCATGATGACCTTGTGCTATTTTCCACTAAAGTAATTTTGCTGACTTTTCAATTTGTCTTCATATGACCTGCCAACCTTTTTATCTACATCTAACAAACAAAAAATCCCGTTTCTGCCAGCATGGTCACATTCCCCTAGTGACTGAATGTCAGACTGACAACAAACTCGGTCTGTGATGAGCTAATGGTGACTGACAGAGTTGTCTTACATATAGTGTTCCAGTGGTTCTTGCAGGATCGCCATGGCAACTCTGACGTCATGGATGTAAACAAATAGTAGAAGCCCCAGGCATTGACCATGTTGTAGTATATAGATACAACACCGGACACAATCACCATGGAGTACCCGATACCTGAAAAAACAAAACAAGATCATTTTGTAGCAAACAAATAGAGACATCAGACACAATTATCATCAAGTGATACCTAAAGCAGAAGATTCAGCACAAAAGAATATCCAATATCTGTAACAAAGGACTAAACACAAATACCCAATACCTGTAGCAGAGGGTTGATCACAAATACCAAATACTTGTAACGGAGGGTTGATCACAAATACCAAATACTTGTAAAAGGGGATTGAATACAAAATACACAATACCCATAACAGGGGAGTGAGCACAAATATACAATACTTGTAACAGAGGATTAAACACAAATACACAATACCCGTAACAGAGGGTTGATCACAAATATCCAATATCTGTAACAGAGGGTTGATCACAATACCTACACCCAATATCTCCACACGTCTACAGCAGTGTCTGAATGACTGCTTCCAACAGTACCATGTAACAGCAGTGAATACACCTTGAAAAGCAAGTGTACAATACCTACACCATCTCCACATGTCTACAGCAGTGTCTGAATGACTGCTTCCAACAGTACCATGTAACCTCAGTGAATACACCTTGACAAGCAAGTGTACAATACCTACACCATCTCCACGTGTCTACAGCAGTGTCTGAATGACTGCTTCCAACAGTGCCATGTAACCTCAGTGAATACACCTTGAAAAGCAAGTGTACAATACCTACACCATCTCCACATGTCTACAGCAGTGTCTGAATGACTGCTTCCAACAGTGCCATGTAACCTCAGTGAATACACCTTGAAAAGTAAGTGTACAATACACCATCTCAACACATCTACAGCAGTGTCTGGGCTGCACCTGTTCCATGTTACCTGACTGACTATCTCACCCATGTCTTCAAGTACACTGTGGCTAGACGATCTACTGGGTTTTGAAAACGCTAACACAATACTTGGCACCTCCAAGTGATTTAGAGAACAAAAAATGTCAGTGCAAGTCAATCAAAATGTAACCAGGTGCTTTTCTCGACTGAAAATAGTTCATGCCCCTATTTCTTTGAATTTTCTTTGCATAAAAAACTGTTATTAAAATTACTTTTTGTATCATTTGATAGGACAGCTGATATTGATAGACTTTTTCTTGACAAAACCTTCAGGTCTTATCAATTCTGTAATTTAAATGGGAAAGAAATGTGTGATGGCATTGTAAAAATGGTGTTTAATTGTTATTTGTGTTCTATTTTCTAGAAGTTCAGGGTTGACAGATTCATAAACATAGATCACATACCTTAGTGCAGCGTAAAGAAAGAGCTATATACAATAATATTGTGAAACTTTTGTCTTCAAACAGAAGCACCATCTCAAAGTCGAACAATTTTCTTTCTTAAGAATAACAGCTTACATCCATTTGAGCAAAGATTTAGCTCACTGAAGTGAAAATGTTTATACACAGTTTTCATTTCATCTCATTAAAACAAAACATTTAACCTTCAACAACAGGAAAGCCCTTTCATGTTTTAAATGCTTGCATTAGAATATTTATCTCACAGAGGATCCAAGTGTTAGACATATTTGCCTTGGCACCAACTCAGACTTCAGATGTGGTGTGAGAATTCAAGCAGATTGAAGGTGTTTTCTTCAACAACAACTTCTTTTCCAGTTGATCATTTCTCTAAACAAATGCACCCTCTAGACATGATAGCACAAGTGTGAGTGACATGGTGCCTGGAACTGACCACAATTAGGTTTTAAAAGTCATCAATGATTGATTACTGATTATCATGGACAGAATTCGAAAATTTTACAATTCTGACATTCTTGGGTGAGTGAGAGAGTATGGGTTCAGGTTATGCCAGTCTCAGCAACAGACCATCTTAATAACAGTTGAGGACTCCAGGAACAGACTTCACACTTCAGACAGAAGGCTACCCCTCCCTGAGCTATCATCTAGCAATATGAATTAACCCTGCTAATGTCTATACAAATACATACGCATGACGCTGTTCCGCATACATCCCCGGAAATCCCTATTTTAGAAAACCTCTTATCGCATTGAGTATTTAATAAGGTGGCTTGCCGCATAAAACCTATCTGGGTTTCAAGACTTCTATAGGTTTGTTGTACCGGTATTTAAATATTAAAATACTCTTCCTCAAAACATTTTTGTATATGAATAAATCATTCTCGCTAATAATTCATAATTTCTCCTCCCCCCAATGAAGATCCAGGTTAGTATTGGTCTTCAACAACCCATGCTTGTCATAAGAGGCGGCTAACATGATCGGGTGGTCAGGTTCGCTGACTTGGTTGATGCATGTCATCGTATCCCAACTGCGCATATTGATGTTCATGATTCTGGGGGTTGGGGATTCCCCTCGCTGGGGTTAAAAGGGGTCCATGGTATTTGGTGCGCTTCACAAACTTGGACATTTCAATACTTTCTATGAATATTTCAATTTTTTCTCTTGGAAATTTACCAAATGTATCTTGAAAAATTAATATTGGAAACAGAATTGCAAACATTTTTTTCAGTTTACTAGGCCTTTAAGTTTTATTCAAGAATTACTTCCAGGAAAAGATTAACATACATTTTAAAAATGATATATCCATAATATTTATCTTATTAACTTCTCTATTTGTAATTCATGCCAAAACTCTTGCACTGCTGTTTCTTTGCATGTAAACACCAAGAGATGCACTTGATCTCACCTGAAGCGTATCACATGAATAATCTTTGAAAATCAATTTTTCAAACTTTACCCACACACTAAACAACATCAGTAGTTGTTAAAATTTCAAATATTTACAGAAAAATGTGATTCAGACATTGATTGGATCTGTTCTGTTGTTTTATGTTCAATATTTGATGTTCTCGGGAGCTACTTGTGATTCCCCCATCCTACCAGGTGCAGAAGTGGTGCCACTTGAGCACTTCCTCCCACGGCATGATGTCAGACCCATTGAGGTAACTGAGTTCCTCCCTTCCTGCCAACAACTTTTACAAACTTATTACAAAACACATGATGTCTTGACAACCCATACAGACTCAAGGCCGATCTAACTTACAAATTTGGCACAGCTGAATTTATCGCCATATTTATCTACTTAAAATAATATTTGTTCAGCTTCCTGTTACACTCATCTTCCTGAGGTAAGGGCGTTACCTGACTGAAAAAGTCCAGTTTCAACCCTTCCTGAAGTACGCTGAATTTCCAGGCTGGATCGTAGCGCCACCAGTGGCTATTATGCGTTATGTCCCTTCTATGTCCCTCCTATTGACTAATCGGGGTGGTCGGGTAGCCTAGTGGTTAAAGCGTTCGCATGTCACGCCGAAGACCCGGGTTCGATTCCCGACATGGGTACAATGTGTGAAGCCCATTTCTGGTGTCCCTCACTGTGATATTGCTGGAATATTGCTAAAAGCGGCGTAATACCATACTCACTCACTCACTATTGATCAAACAAACTCCCATATCACTTGCATTTGCTTCAAACAAAATGGTGGCACCAAGTCAAAACGATCTGATCAATAATCAAGATCCATAATAAAACAGATCTTACCTTGGAAGTGCATCAAATCACTTGAGCACCTTGATTAAAAACATGAAAAGATTTGCAAAATATCTGTTGATGCCCATTTGATGGTACACATGCATGTTGTTTACAAACCAGACGTCGAGTTCGTTATGCGAACTTGATTGGACTATGCATAGACTCGTTAGTCCAGCCAAATTGTAACTCTGGAATTGCAGCCTAGTTCGTCAAGGGTGGAAACTGGTCTTTTATAGTCAGTTAATGTCTTTGCCTCCGGAAGATGTATTACACCGATTCCTTAAATGTTATCCTGAGTCATCAGGATTTGAAGAAATATGCCAACACATGAAGACAATCCCTTAAAATGTTTAAAATGGCTGCACACCTACACAAATAATAATCACAAAAAATATTTCCAAAATCAAAAGAAATCTCTTAAAGAAGAATCCCATTTTATGATTCCAACTATATCATAAGCATGAGTTTATGAATCACTATCATATAGTCAAGATACCAGGTGTTTGCCTTGAAAAAGTGAGCATTTCCTGCCCCTCTGGTGGCACCCATCACAAACACATGCAAAGGCAAGTCAACTGTTCAGCCCAAAGACATGGACACATATGGAACAAGTCAAAATAGGGAACTTTATCGAATAATTTTTGGTCACTGATATGTCAAATTTGGAAATGCCCTCTATGTGTCTTACTGAAAATGTCGACCACCTCCGTGGTCTTGTGGTAGAGCGTCCGCCCGGAGAGCGGAAGGTCCAGGGTTCGATCCCAGGCCGCGTCATACAAAAAGACGTTAAAAGATGGTACTTGTTGTTACCCTGTCTGGCGCTCGGCATTAAGGGGCTAAAACAAGGACTGGTCGGCTCGGAGTCAGTATACTGTGTCTGAGTGGGGTATTCATGTTAAACTGTGGCATGGTATCTCAGTGAGCTAGCACTATAAATCGGCATCAGTCCGGACTAGTACAAGCAGCCACACACACACACATACACGTGCATGCACGTCGCTATATAAGTGCAATAATCTTGGACGCGACGTTAAACCCAATTTCACCTCACCTACTGAAGATGTCTTGAATGTTGTATCCTTGATCGAACAACTTTTAAGAAAGAGTTGTATGATGCTCTTTGAAATTTTGTAGAAAAAGCACGCTCGATTGTACCTCAAAGGTTGTGTTATGTAGACACCAAAGGCTTGAACTGATAACCCTAACTGTCATTGTCTATATTAAAGATATCAATTCAAGTAATACCGTATTTTCTTGAGTATAGTGCGCACCCATGTATAATGCGCACCCCCCTCTAGCGGGTTCAATATTTTGGAAAAAAAAGAAATTTGAATATTATGCGCAGAAAAAATTTACACCGTACCCTTTCAGCGAAGTCCGGCAAACGAACGGGTGCTGAGAGACTTCGTCAGTACAAATTCGAAATTTGAGATAAAAAATCACCAGACATGTTTATTTACCGTTTAAATAGTATTTATTGTTCTGCTAGGCATTGTTTTATATCTAGGGATTAAGATTACCTTGTGTATTTTCTCGAAAACTAAGCCGGAAACAGCAATCAGCTGTACACACGTTTTCTTGGAATTGACCGGTGATTCGGTCAAGACACACCAAATGATATAACTTCATAGGATTTTTAATGCAAGGATCGGCAACAATTGTATCTGAAACTATTTTTTTTATCAGGAATAATATATTCCATTATTTTCTTAATTATATGCAGCCTTTACTAAACATATTTAAAATAATAATAACCCTAAGCGAAGCAGCTGATCGCTATTGCCGGGTATTATTTTTTACATGGAACCAGTCTGACCAGTCACCGTCAAGGCTCACGCGCACGTGATCGCGTGATCGCGAGAATTTCATGTTGACATAGAATCGTCAAACAAAAACAAATATGACTTTTAACGAGTCAAAGTATGTCATTTATGATATATGTATCCATTCTCTGTCAACTATAGTTCGTTTCAAGGCGTCAATAGCGGTATTCTGACCGTGGTTGCTGTTAATAACGGTGAGTTGTGCGATCTTCTGATCGCTTCACACACGATTTCGCTGAAATTAATAAAAACAATATTATAAGGAATTTTGAATAAAATTAATGAAATAAGTTACAAACATAAGTCCAGATATACAAAGAACACTTTTTATAGCCAGACAGTGTAATTACATGATTATTTTGCGTACTTCAGTATGGATTTGTTGACATGGTATTTCCGGTGTTTCGTGCGGTGTTTCGTCACGGTAATGTCTTTCCATGGGGGAAAAAAACATACAAACTCATAATTCGTGTATAATGCGCACCCCCTTCTACACAGCTGTGTTTTTTCGAAAAAAAGTGTGCACTATACTCAAGAAAATACGGTAAACACAATTCTTGTTTATAAAAAGATTTATGAAAAGGTCATACAATCTTGTGTTGTTATTTAATGGTCAAGGCTACCTTACGAAACAAAAATGATGTTTATGACTTTGTTTACTTCTGAGAATTCGTCTCAAATCAAACTTTAAAACATATTTCATTTTAAATTTGGCCTCACACCCCTGTGCAATTTGAGAATGAACATCCTGGCATTAAAAGACATTTAAAAGGTGTCTTTAAGGTTTATTTCATATTTCTTAGAACATATTTCAAAAACTTTCAATGAATGACCACAGCATGCATACACTGACATAAATATTCAAGCAATCTTAGCCTCGAGCGAGGAACACCCTGCCCCCAGAATGACATATTGTCCCACATATAACACTGACACACTTACCAGAAACAATTAATGACCCAACAGACCAAGGAATGTCTCATCTAGGTGGGGTAAGTTTCGATTTTAGGAGGCGCGTGTGACATATTAATGTGCAGTCAGGTTATTCTGGGTGACTCAACGATGTACAGGGGGAGGAGAGAGTGGGGACATTATTCCTGTCAGGAAGAAGCGTGAGGCATGTGTGGGAGACATTAATTATCTGTCTACACATCTAATCCTGCATCTTATAGCCTCTCCAACACCATGTCTTGTTTTATAGTTTTTCCTGACAAATAATGCCATGAGGCACACCTTATCAAGAAACTATTTTCAGTGCGACTTAAGGACAAAAAAGCCAGAAATGTACACAGAAAAAAATGAACAACCTTAGAATTCAGGAAATTATTCTAAAAATGCCTGTTATTCAGGCTATGCTTGCAATATACCTAATAGAAGTTAAGGACCACCGACATTTTGATATTACGATTGATAATCTGTCATGGCATGTCCTTAACTTCTTTTGAGTAGCATACTTTACCTAAATCCTGCATTGAACAAAAGTGAAACAATATGTAGGGATTTAATTGCCATCAGCACCTGAATCTTCACTGTTTTAAATGTAGGCACTGTTTTAAATGTAGGCACTGTTTTAAATGTAGGCGAGGGTGATCAATCAAACAAGACAAAGGTAGATACATAATGCTTTGTAGCTCACTTTAGTGACTGGCTGCTTTCAGTAGACACTTGGTAGTCAGTGAGTGAGTTGGGTTTAATGCTGCTTTGAACAGTGTTCCAGTTATATCACGGCGTGTCAGCTTAATGTGGGAGGAAAGCCCGAAGTGATGCAGGTCTCAGACGTTTACCACTTTTGGTGAAACCCACGAGCACGGGTATGGTGCTGACAAACCTAGGAACAAAATCGGGGTGAAGCGGGAATTAAACCCACGATCACAGGTTTCTGTCGTGCCTAAGGGACGTAACTCTGCACAGCAAATTGCAGCGCCTTAGACTACTGGGCCACCCGTGCCCCCAGACACTCTGTAAGCACAGCACAGTACAGATACACTATAATGCTGGTATGTACAACACAACTTCATGAACCCTATAGCTTGCCCAAGCTGTTTTTCAGTATGAGTGAGTGAGTTGGGTTTAACGCCGCTTTTAGCAGTATTCCAGTTATATCACGGCGAGTCAGCTTTATGTGGGAGGAAAGCCCGAAGTGATGCAGGTCTCAGACGTTTACCACTTCGGTGAAACCCACGAGCATGGGTATGGTGCTGACAAACCTAGAAACATAATCGGGGCGAACCAGGATTCGAAACCACAATCATAGGTTTCTGGCGTGCCCAAGGGACGCAACTCCGCACAGCGAATTGCGGTGCCTTAGACGACTGGGCCACTCGTGCCCCCTTATTCAGTGTGACAAGGTGTATGGTCACCAATGCTAGTCAAAGGACCAACAGTCAACATACCAATACTCGGGGGGACAGAAGATGTTTAATTGTATGTCCACATGCTCACATCAAATGTCACAATCATACCACCACTCTGTGAAGATTCGGGTTAGAATTGTTATTATCCACCCATGCTTGTCACAAGAGGTGCCTAACGGGATCAAGGGGTTAGGCTTGCTGACTTGGTTGATGCATGTCATTGTATCCCAGTTGTGTATTTCGGTGCTCATGATGTTAGTCCAGACTTGATTATTTACAAACTGATGGCACACAGTTGTAATATTGTGTGTGGCGTCAAACAAAAAACAAACAAACAAAAAAACACAATCATACCAATATATAAGCCTGGACAATGGTTGGTTGGTTGGTTTGTTGTTTAACGCCACACTCAGCAATATTCCAGCTATATGACGGCGATCTGTAAATAATCGAGTCTTGACCAGACAATCCAGTGATTGATCATGAGCACTGATCCATGCAATTGGGATCAATGACATGCATCAACCACTTCATCGAGCCTGACCATCCGATCCTGTTAGTCGCCTTTTATGACAAGCATAGTCGCCTTTTACGGCAAGTATGGGTTGCTGAAGACCTATTCTAACCCGGGTCTTCACGGGTCGCCTGGATAATGGGCACATATGAGATTAGTATATGACATACTTGTGTCCATTATTAAAATAGATGTAAGCTAAAGTAAACAGGAGCCTGAAAACTACATTACAAACAAATATAATATAGCTACGCCATAAATCGCAAAGAACAATGAAGAACTAAGCATAGTTTATTTCACATTGTTCTATCATGACGTCATTTCTGCAGATTCGTACAAGCACTCTTGATGGCGTCATAAATTAAACGATGTTATTTTTGAGAAGGTAGTGTCTAGTGAGCTGTTCCCCATAGATGTAGCTGGGCAACACAGATGGATAGAGCGGCCGAATGATTACACCGAAGTGGAAGAGATATGACAATCGGTATTGGGAAAAAGGTGCTGATAATCAAGTAAAAATTGTGAGAATACCAAACTTAACCCCTGTACATAAAATGGACTTGTCTGACATTGCCGAGGTCAGATTGTATTTGGGGAGTCATCATTATTTAAATACGGGTAAATGTTTGTAAAGCTTGTACAATATATTGACATCCTTAAAAAGGCTGTACAAAATGTTGATATCTCATATAAGAAATAAACGACTCGTGGTCATTGTTTATCATACAATTAAGCACTGCAGGGAGAATAAACCATTCAGGGTTGCGTCGTTTATGTCGTTTATCATAGTTTATTTCGTAAATATACAATACAGTATTGCCCATACACTAATTTCATCTCAAATTTCACAATGACACATTAACAATTGTTTGATTAATGTTTTATCTGACAGGAGCATGCTTAAAGGCAAGAAGCAGTTTTCACCAGGAATGGGCTTCACACATTGCACCCATGTGGAAGATCAAGCTGGGGTCTTCGGTGTCATGAGCGAATGCTTTATCCAGTAGGCTACCGACTGGCCGAATTCTATCATCCTAGAGACACCCTTCCTGGCGTCCTGTATACAGTGTTAAGGGTCATGCCCTGTTGTTTCGGAGGAAGATAATACTAAAAGCCTTACCTTTAAACAGTGGCACTGCTCTCCATATGGTGATGGGTCCAAGACTGGCGTACTGCCCAAAGGCCAGCTCCATGTACACCAGGGGGATGCCACAGAACACCAGCATTATCAGATAGGGGATGAAGAACGCACCTACAACAGAGGATTGTCACAGTGAGGTGTGTTTAACACTGCTTTGAGAGAGTGAATGAGTGTGGTTTTATGTTGCTTTTAGCAATGGTCCAACAATTCCATAGTAGGGGACACCAGAAAAATACCTTAGCATGACAATTTACATTAGAAAAAAGAAGCTCTTGTTCCATTGGAGAAAGACAGGAACAAGCATTGGACTTCTGTCAGTACACGAGTGTCAGATAGCCATTGTGGAACTACCTTTGGACTTCAGACAGTACAGGTATGTCAGGGAGGCATTGTGGAACTGTCTTTGGACTTCAGACAGTACAGGTATGTCAGGGAGCCATTGTGGAACTGTCTTTGGACTTCAGACAGTACAGGGATGTCAGGGAGCCATTGTGGAACTGTCTTTGGACTTCAGTCAGTACAGGTATGTCAGGGAGCCATCTTGGAACTGTCTTTGGACTTCAGTCAGTACAGGGATGTCAGGGAGCCATTGTGGAACTACCTTTGGACTTCAGACAGTACAGGTATGTCAGGGAGCCATTGTGGAACTGTCTTTGGACTTCAGTCAGTACAGGGATGTCAGGGAGCCATTGTGGAACTGTCTTTGGACTTCAGTCAGTACAGGGATGTCAGGGAGCCATTGTGAAACTGTCTTTGGACTTCAGTCAGTACAGGGATGTCAGGGAGCCATTGTGAAACTGTCTTTGGACTTCAGTCAGTACAGGGATGTCAGGGAGCCATTGTGAAACTGTCTTTGGACTTCAGTCAGTACAGGGATGTCAGGGAGCCATTGTGGAACTGTCTTTCAACTTCAGTCAGTACAGGGGTGTCAGGGAGCCATTGTGGAACTACCTTTGGACTTCAGACAGTACAGGTATGTCAGGGAGCCATTGTGGAACTGTCTTTGGACCTCAGTCAGTACAGGGATGTCAGGGAGCCATTGTGGAACTGTCTTTGGACTTCAGTCAGTACAGGGATGTCAGGGAGCCATTGTGGAACTGTCTTTGGACTTCAGTCAGTACAGGTATGCCAGGGAGCCATTGTGGAACTGTCTTTGGACTTCAGTCAGTACAGGGATGTCAGGGAGCCATTGTGGAACTGTCTTTGGACTTCAGTCAGTACAGGGATGTCAGGTAGCCATTGTGGAACTGTCCTTGGACCTCAGTCAGTACAGGGGTGTCAGGGAGCCATTGTGGAACTGTCTTTGGACCTCAGTCAGTACAGGGGTGTCAGGGAGCCATTGTGGAACTGTCTTTGGACCCCAGTCAGTACAGGGGTGTCAGGGAGCCATTGTGAAACTGTCTTTGGACTTCAGTCAGTAGACAGGTGTCAGGTCACCTTAAATCAGTATTTCCAAGAATTGATAAAATTTACCACTCCCAGATAAGACATGTAAATGCAATACATTCGTTCCTGGGGTCATCAACGTCATCAGTGTCGGGGTATCCTGATCGCAGAAAGTATATTCCTGAACATGGTGCTTTCAGACTACTGTAACGAGACCTTAATTTCTACTCCTTTTCATGGACGTTTGCCCTTTCTGTCTTGTGTTCTGCTAATGACCCCTCTTCAGGTTGCACTTCACTACCACCTTCTATGATGGACGGTTGGCCCAACCTGTGCCACAGGGAAAGTGTCCTTTCCACCAAATTACCAATGCAGCGAAACCACACAGGAGCTCATTAATGGAAAATGTCTCAAAAAAAAGCCAGAGAGACAGGTCCACTCTCACAAAATGTTCTGACCTTAAAGAGTCACAACAACTATGGTATTTCCATAAATAATTTATTCAGCATATGTCAGAGAGTGAGTTGGATTTTATGCTGTGTCTCTTACATCAGGACTACTGGCATATCCGTTTATGAACTGTGAAATATGTTTTATGCAATTTTTATACAGTATGTTACTGTATGCATTCTAGTATTTGTAGAGTACTTGTGATTTGGTAGCTTTTCGTCCAACGAAATAAACGGATAGCAACAAAATTATTGTTATCTTGATCAGGGCTATGTTTGCTCATAATAGGCCCATCAACATAGGCAAGTAATAATAAGGTGATTGATAAAAGTGCTCAAGTTGGTCCAAATTGAAAGGTATACTTGCCCTGGGATATGCATTTTATAACCCAAATCGGCAAAGTGCGAGGTGCACGTGCGAAAGGCTCGGGGGACAGATTTCACGTGCTTCACACAGGGCTGACTAACACAGTGTTCTCACAGTTCCTGAATATCTTTCAAAATACCTTTAGCAAAACAATGTTTTTCAAGCATTTTCGGTGCTATAAATGTTGGACATGGTTTAAGTATGTTAGACCACTCGGACCTAAGTGTCTAATCGTTGAAATGTTGCGCTCCTCGTGGTTTAATTAACCATTTCAGCGATTAGACACTGGGTCCTTGTAATCCAACCTATACTTAAGACATGCTGGGTGTTTGCTAAGTGTAACATCGTAGACAGACCCTAGTACATGACCTTGACTTACCGCCGCCATTCCTGTAGACAAGGTAGGGGAACCGCCAGACATTTCCCAGTCCAACAACATATCCAAGACAGGACAGGACAAACTCAAACCTCCCGCTCCAGTTGCCCCGAACCTTGTTTTCCTCCTCGCTGGACTCATCGTCAGAGCTGGAGATTGTCATCAGATCCGAGAGGTACCCGGGGCCACTCAGCTCTGATGTGGAATCGCGACGTTGACGCTGAAAACAAAATGATACCCTTAATAAAGCGGAACATTTCCATAAAAGTTGTCATCAGATCTGCGAGGTACCGAGCCATGCAGTTCCAAAGTAGAACCTTTATGTTGATCCCCATTAAATATGAAACATTTTCACACAAACTGTCATCGGATCTGAGAGGTACCAGGAGCCACTCGGCACCAGAGTATAATCTCAACATTGACGCTAAAAATATAATTATCATTTTAGAAAGTTTGAACTTTGTCTACAAGAGCTGTTAACTATCATCAGATCGTCAACAGAACTAGAAAAAAAATCATTAAAAGTATGGTGGTCCACTGACCTGATTCTGATGCTGAAAACACAATTAGTCTTTAGAAAAGCTGAACATTTCGGTATAATTGCTGGAAACTGTTAATAGATCCAGACATATGACACACTCAGGCCCAATGTGGAGTCCTGACCCAGAAAATCACATTTTCCTTTAAGAAAGTGGAATTAAAACTTTCTAAAAAGAGCTGCAAAGGACCATGCAATGTGAAACGCACTCCAACACAAAGTCTCCTCAACACTGATGTTCTGTCTTGATTGCTACCGATAATGTTATACCTCCAAGAAGGCTAATATTTCTACAAGGAACCTGCAATCTGTCAGAAGAAGTGGACCTAAGTCTCGACACAGAAAATGATAATATCCTATTGAATTGCTCCCGCCAACCATGCTGGCTCCAATGTCATCTAAAACGTGTCAATATACGGTCTAAAAATATCCTCTTCACTGCCAAGATGGCGATTGTCTGGATCTGAGAGGTGTGATGGAAGGTACCAGCATGTTGTGGCGTGGCGCTGGGGCTGGCTGTGTACACCTGGGCAGTGTCACTGAACCAGATAATCAGGTTTGTTAGGCAGTTAATTGTGTTAAGTTCATCAACAGTGATGGAAGGTATCATGTCCGGAATACTGGGAGTGAGATATAACGTCCTTGAGTGAGTGAGATCTGAAGTGAGTGAGATTGAAAGTCATTTAGTGAGATATTGTGTCCTTGAGTGAGTGAGATCTAAAGTGAGAGAGATCGAAAGTCATTTAGTGGGATATTGTGTCTTTGAGTGAGTGAGATCAAAAGTGAGTGAGATCAAAAGTCATTTAGTGAGATATTGTGTCTTTGAGTGAGTGAAATGGAAAGTGAGTGAGATCAAAGTTCATTTAGTTAGATATTGTGTCTTTGAGTGAGTGAAATCGAAAGTGAGTGAGATCGAAAGTCATTTAGTGAGATATTGTGTCCTTGAGTGAGTGAGATCTAAAGTGAGAGAGATCGAAAGTCATTTAGTGAGATATTGTGTCTTTGAGTGAGTGAGATCAAAAGTTAGTGAGATTGAAAGTCATCTAGTGAGATATTGTGTCTTTGAGTGAGTGAGATCTAAAGTGAGAGAGATCGAAAGTCATTTAGTGAGATATCGTGTCATTGAGTGAGTGAGATCAAAAATGAGTGAGATTGAAAGTCCTTTAGGGAGATATAATGCCCTTGAGTGAGTGAGAGAGATTAAAAGTCCTTTAGTGAGATATCGTGTCATTGAGTGAGTGAAAGAGCTTGAAAGTGAGTGAGATCGAAAGTGAGTGAGATCTTAAGTTCTTTAGGGAGATATAATGTCCTTGAGTGAGTGAGTGAGATCGAAAATGAATGAGATTTAAAGTCCTTTAGGGAGATATCAGTTCCTTGAGTGAGATGCGAGTCCCTAGGAGAGTAAGTGGGATCTCAGGTCTTTGAGTGAGTGAGTGAGTGAGTGAGTGAGTGAGTGAGTGAGTGAGTGAGTGGGTGAGATTTCAAGTCCCTCAGTGTGGCATCTCACAGGCCTTGGTGAGATCTCAGGTCCTTGAGTGAATGAGTGAGTGAGTGAGTGAGTGAGTGAATGAGTGAGTAAGTGAATGATTGAGCGTGATCTCAAAATACTGACTGAAATAGCTTACCCTTGAGTGATTGACTGAGATGCCAGTCTCTATGTGAGTCAGTGGAATCTCAGGTCCTTGAGTGAGTGAGTAAAGTCTCAAGTCCATGAGCGTTAGTTCATTGCGAGTGATTTCAAGTCACTTAGTGAGTGAGTGAGATCTCAAGTTCCTGACAGAGTGAGATCTAAAGTCCTTGAGTAAAAGAGTACTCAGAAAACAAATCCCTGAGTTATTGAGATCTCAATGGTCTGACTCGGTTGATGCATGTCATCGTATCCGAATTGCGTGGATCGATGCTCATGATGTCAGTCACTGGATTGTCTGTCCAGACTCGATTATTTACACACTGCTGTCATATAGCTGGAATATTGCTGAGTGCAGCGTTAAACAACAAACAGTACAAACAAATAATAGATCTGAATATCTGCAACCTGTAAACATGGAAACTATCCATCCTTCATAGTTAGGCCCAGAACTTTTGACCAACCCCTTGCAGCATCCTACTGCAAAGCCATCATGCAGGGACATACCGTATTCAACACAATAAGCGCCCCTCACGGCAATATTTCCTAATATATCGGCTATTGTGAACAATCCCAATTAGCACCCTTCCGATTGATCAATGTACACAAGACAAATTTATTCATGTATAATACTCACTCTCGTGTTATACACACCCTTAATTACGGGCAATTAAATTCTGGAAAAATATATCTGTCGTGTATAATACGCACAGACTTTTCTTTTGTTTCATTTCAGGCTGTAAGCTATACCACAAAGTTTACGATCTTTCAACTCTTTCACCAAAATTATATTCTAAGAAGAACCCCTACTTCTAATTTTGAGAGCGTCCTGGGCGCTTATAACGTCGAATACAGTAATATCTAAACACGTAGCCGGCTTACAGGCTTTCAGACTCAGCCAATACCAGCACTTCATTAAGTGCAGCTTCAAATTCAATTTCACATATTTTATTTTGTTGTTATCAATGGCATCACTTAATGATGTGAATGTATACAACAGAAGGGTTAAGGCACACTGTTCTGAAAACATTCCCCTGTGCAAATATTATATCTGGTTCTTTTAAACATGTCAATAAATGCATTTCTCTTGGCGCTAACAGAATTAGTTGAATACATATATACCCAGCTAAGGGTATTAGAACATGAGTATGATTAATCTGTGGAAGTGGAAAAATAAAGCCAGACATCACGACACAGTATCATGACAAACACATGATCACACAGCGATTTATTCGAGCTGGCAAGAATGTTATTGGCAGCATATCTGAGAAGCCCAGTACATTCAGCTTGAAGGGAGATTAAGGTCCATTTTCTGCCAAGGTCTAGACATTGTAATTAATACCATACGGCAAACCAAGCTACAGTCAAGTCTCGTTAATCCAACACTTGTTAATCCGACAGTCGGCTTTATCCGACACTAATGATGAGAACCGATTAAATCAGTGTTATTTAGACCTGTTAATCTGACAGTCTCGCACTCCGACTCCGACACACCTAATTTGAAACGAATTACCGAAATCACTCATTAATCAGTCTCGTTAATCCGACACAGTGATCAGCGTACTCCGTGGCCATCTGCCCACGAGTACATAGCCCGTGTTTTGATGCGAGGTAGCTGCATATTACAATGGTTGCAAAGATAAACTTGCTTAACAATAAACAATTAATGCCTTAAATAAAGAAAACAGGATAAATCACATGCGTAGATTACCTCAATCTTATTAAACTCAGATACAAGTTCTCACTATCGACGAGGACATGCCATTACAGGTCATGTCAGAACAACCTTTCGCAAACTAAGACCGACAAATGAAATGACCAACAGGAAGTCTACATTAGCCACTTAGAAAGCAGCTTTCTTAGCTTTGCGGTACCAGTTTCAAACTTGCGACTTCCATTCCAGACTATGCTTTTAAAAGTATTTTGAATAAGTCATACAGTCCGTTACAGTTGTTTTGTGTTAAACTTTAGAGGTTGCATGAACAGAAAACATATTCCGCCAACAATGTAACATCACAATATGAATATTTATTTTATATTTTTTATTACGTGTTTGAATCCTTATCTATCGTGTAGTTGTCCGATTTTCGATCACGAACATTGATACTACTTAATTTCGTTTATCCAACATACTCGTTAATCCGACATAATCAAATGCAACCATCGATGTCGGATTAATGGGATTTGAGTCAAATCATTTGACTGTATGTCTGTGTGATTCGGGAAATGATTAACTGTAAAATTGGTACGCATACTAAAATTTCATGGAATTTGAACAAGGTAGTACAAATAGCCCCAGTCTTATCCCCCTTTGGGAAAAATAGTTCTCTAAATGTGTTCTCAAACTAGAGGTTGGTTCAAAATGAAGGCTAAGTGTTGCATACAGAACTGCTGTCTACTGTGTACTTCTACACCCCATTACAAGTCTCATCATACCACTAGGGGCAGTGGGTAGCCTAGTGGTTAAAGTGTTCGCTCGTCATGCCGAAGACCTGGGTTCGATTCCCGACATGGGTGCAATGTGTGAAGCCCATTTCTGGTGTCCCCCGCCGTGATATTGCTGGAATATTGCTAAAAGCGGCGTAAAAGTATACTCACTCACTCATGCTAATTTCGGGCTAGAACTGGGCACACACCTATGCTGGTCATAATGTTTAAAGGGCAACCAAATGGATACAGTGGTCAGGCTCAATGACTTTGTTGATTGCGAGTCATGGCTCCCCAACGGTGTGGATAGTTGCTCACAATATCGTTCAGAGGATTTTCTGTCCAGACTAGATTAATAACACGCTGCCGACATAGAGTTTGTAATTTTCTTATTTATTTCGTGTTTATAACTGTATTTACTTTGCGATGTGCTTATGCATGCATGCGTGTGTGAGAGAGAGTGTGTGTGTGTATGTGTGTGTCTGTGTTTGTGTGTATATCTCATCACAATATTCGAATACAGTCTGTGCCAAGAATTTCATAACTTGCAACATATTAAGGGCAGTCATTATGAGGAGAGTATATCCTGATTGATGGCTCCCCTTGCAAAATCCACACCTTAATTATC